AGTTGTTTAATTTTCAAAGGAATTGGAAAAATCTACCTCGTTCTGAATTGCATTGTTTCATTTGAAGCAGGCATGATATATAACACTCAATGTGCACATGTACAGTTTTATGAATTTTGCAGGGTATAATGTATATGCGTTAATTGGAAGTTATACTCTTCCTTTTCTTTCATGTATAATCAAAATTGAGTATCATGCTAATACACACGGTCTATAAATTGCTGGCGTGCCAATCGGCATGCTGGTTTTTTAGTGTATACAGGTTCAGACTGCTTGGAAGCATCATACCATACTCCCGTGTTCTTGACCAGATGATGATGAAGTTTACATTGTGTTTCTTAGAGGTTGTTTGGGGTTACTATAGGATTCAGCGGTTGATCCGGCCATGGTTCGAGTCTTCAATAGATTTTTTTAGGTTGATCGGCCATGCTGATCCATCTTGAAGATAGAAATTGCTAAAGAAATTGTCGTAAATTTTTTAGACGAAAAACTTTAAATTGTATCTTATAGTGTAATTACACCAAAATTATATTGTTTTTAATCTCACTTATTATTATATAAGTTATTATATAAAAGTTAGAACGTAGTTATAGTAGTTACATTAAATTGCACTACTATTATTATATTACAATATGCTTTTTAAAAAATAACTTGAGGCATTATCTTACGGAATTGCTAAAAATATGTCGCCAGTTTTTTGGGCTGATTTTAGTCGGTGTCGCTGGCCGTACGATTGCTCCGTGAGTATTCGCTAGTCGTTGGATGTTTTCACGCACGGCGGCATTACAGCAAGCCCTAATCTTCTTTGTTGATCAGCGTTGAACGTTGCACTGATACCTTCTCTTATATAAGTTACACCACACTTATACACCACTTGCATATGTAATTAGTATGTAATTTTAGTATTTACATATGTAATTCTAGGACTTACATTGTAAATACACTAAAATTACATATGTAATTTAGGGACTTACAATGTAAATACATGCCGACTATTTTTTGATGAAAAATATGGCGCCATAAATATAGCTAATCCCTTATTTTAAGATAATCCTAGGTTAAATATGGGCCCACAAGAAAACTGGAATAAAATCCAGCAATGACTAGCCACACCTTACTATCTTACATAATTCTATAATTGGCCCAATTTATTCTCAAACATAAATCGTTTTGTACATAACTTTACATGCACTGACTCAGCTTTGCCCAAAATTCCTTTCCTAGTTTTCATACATGAGAAGATCCATGCTTGAGGTCAGAGACAATGGAGCGCTCCCTGTTGAGCGTCCTCTGCTTCTCCACCTTCTTCTTGTGATCCATGGCCATGTCGTCCTCCTTGACGACGAACACCTGCCCTATCAGCGGCGCCTCCTCCCCCATCAGCACCTTCCCCTGGAGGTGCGGCAGGAACCCGCCGCCGAGGAATCGCCGGAGGAAGTTGAGCCGGACAATGTCCGTCCATGTCGACGCCGTCAGCCGCCCGTGGTGGGACGACGACGCGCGCACCGAGCTCGCCGGTGCCTTGCCGCCGGCGAGGAACGTCGTGATGCTATTGAAGAGCTCCTTCTGCTCGACGAAGTTGGCCTTGCCGACGCCCGCTCCGGCGGCTTCGTTGGCGAGCTCGGACGCTCTGGCCGCCACGCCGGAGATGAGGGCGCCGTTGCTGTCCCGGGTCAGGAGCTTCATCTCGATGGTGACGGCGAGAGCCTCGCCGGCGGCCATTCGGACGGCGCGGCTGTCGGAGTGGAGGAGCGAGGCGAGGTGCGCCGCCGTGTCGCGCCACGCGGCGGGAGAGGACGCCGCCGCCTTCTTCTTCTTCCAGCCGTCGGTGGTGGTCAGCACGAGCGTCCACGCCGACACGGCGGCGGCCAGGACATGAGGGCTCGTCTTCCTCGCCACGCCGGCGACCTTGGGCCCCGTGCTTGGGCGGATCAGCCCCCACAGCGCCTTCATGCACGCCTCCGTGTCGTCCATGTTCTCCGCGGCGACGTCGACGAACGCGACGACGGCGAGGGACTCGAGCGCGGCGATCACCAGGGGCGCGTCGGTTGACACCTCGAGGATCCGGGAGACGAGCGGGAACGTCTCCGCCATGATCTTCTTCGAGCCAGGGCCGGGTTCGAGCGGGTTGTACGTCTCCGCCGGCAAGATCCTCCTCTTGGAGCCCGGGCCGAGCGTGACGGCGAGCAGCGCGACGGCGCGGAGCGCGAGGCGGGCCTCCTTGGCGGCGGCTCCCTTCTTGATGGAGGCGCAGCAGCCGCGAACGATCTCACCGCGTAGGTGCCACCCGATGAAGTGGGCGGGGACGAAGCCCTCGAGCGCGCCGACGAGCGACGCCAGCGCCGCCTCCCGCGTGGACGCCCGGCTCTCGTGCACGGAGACGGCGACCTTCTCGAGAACGGCGACTCTCTGATTAATCTTCTGGTAGTAGATGCTCATGCCGCCACCGCTAGCGCTGCTGGTGTCATCGCCGTCCAGTATGGACGACGACGACGAGGCGTGGCCGTTAGAGCGGCGAATGGATTTCCCCAGTACCATGGTGAGCGGTGGTTGACTGGTCTAGGCAATTGATCGAACAGGTCGCCTGCGCAGTGAGCGGGTGGTTGAGGCAATCGATCGAACACTTTGGGAGGCGCAGTGAGTGGAGGAGAGGAGGGGCAGGGGATATGTAGGCAAGCGGAGAACCGACTTCGAATCGGAGTCGGAGTTTGCACGTACGGCGGCGGTGCTGATTCCGAGTCGGTTAGGTGTCATGCTTGTTGGCTGAAATTTATAATAAGCAAGTAAAAGCCCCAAATTTCCACCAAGCATGCATTGGTGAGGTGTCATGCTTTGCTGAAGCCAACCAGTTCCAAGTATGTGAGTCCAGTCACTAGTAACTTCTTATTGGCAGTACAAGTGCTATGAACACGGCACAAAGTAACTTCTTATTCGGTCTCGGTCTTAACCGAAATCAGTACCAGTTTCATATATGCAAAGAAATCATATAGAATTTCAACAAAAAGAAAATCGCAAGCACGTTTGAGTAAAGAACTTTATTGTGTTACATGCCTAGAAGGAAGGAGTGGGAATGTGAAAATTACAATTTAATCCTATTGAATTTAATGGATTATACGTTGCATTTAGATTTTTTTTTATTAATTCAGTTTTTATTTTTACCGAGGAGACTAACCGAATTGTCCAAAGAATTCACTGCCTAGGACTGAATTACTTGGTCTCAGTCTTTTTGGTTTGCCGTTTTTCTGCCTACCACCATCCGTGCCTACGTCTTTCGCGTGCTCCTTTTTTTTTCTCGCGATCGGATTTCATTGCCCACCTGTACGTGCAACAGACCCACACCCGGAGATGGATTCTAATAGCTCGAGTGGACGTCCACCCGTTTATTGCATGTCAACTAGATGGTTACGAAATTTTTTTCAAAAAAAATTGACAAGATAGATCAATATGTAATATATCACTTCACAATCATGCAAGTTCAAATTCAACTTCTACAAGTTGTAACAAAAATAACAAATTTAATTGTAAATATACATATAGTAATTTGGGTTTTGTTTGTTACAATTTGTAGAAATTGAATTTTAATGATGACGCTCTCTCTCGTGGCCCGATCTTCTGGTGAGGGGATAACTCTCGCTTTGATCGAGTGCGACATTTGCGACGTGGCTACCAACTAGAACAAGTCCAGGATGACGTGCAATCGCTACACCACAAACAATGTCGTACCAACCGTGACGCGCGGTTGATGATACCTACAATGCAAATGAGATAACACTGTAAGAACAAGATAAGATGCAATCTAAATATTGCGAATAGGTGATTAAGCACAAAGGAATAGTTGCGATTGAAGTGGTAGATCTAATCGACCTGGCAAATCAACACATAACTATTGGGGGCTCTGAATAAATAGTTGCCGACTAATCGAGTGAGGACTAGAGACAAGGTGAATGACACTTGGCAAAATTCAACTAAACAAAACCCAATTGTTTTTTAGGATGTATAAAGCTATTTATAGACGAAAATAAAGCTAGGGTTAAGTGCTAATTCGTGGAGGTGGAGGGAGACACTTTCGAGATGGGCCTAGTCTATTACAAGGCCCAAGGCCCAAGTTCGGTTTCAGCAACAGCACTGTCTTATTTTAGCGATTCCCATTGACTCGAGATGAATTTGGACATAAGACCAGATGCGTTTGAAAGGTAGCGAGATAAGCTTTCCACGAAGTCCAAGATCACCTAAATCAGAGTTGGCATGAAGGCGCTAGATCCGTTTGAAGTTAATGCTATCTCCGGAGGTCGAATTGGATTCCAAAACTTATTGGACTTTGATATCTTGTAAATCATCTATTCATCCGATGTATTCTTTGACAATGTTTTATATTTCTCATGTCTAGTTATATGCATATATTTGATGGTCACGTCATTTAACTTGTATGTTTATAGATTGATATATTACATATCCATCTATCTTGTTTATATATTTTTTTAATTTTTTTATAAGATGACATGTTAAAATAGTTTCCGCCCGCGCCCTCGTTAATCCACGCGCGCGGCTTCGTCCGATCGTCCTCCCGTGCAAGGCGTTGCCTCCGATCGATCGTACGCGGCGTGTTGGTTCAGGATTACGCTTTCGTCCGCGTTCCGCTCGGCCTTACGGGCAGAAGTGGCCATTGAGTCACCGATATGTGGGCCCAATATCAACGCGGGGTCCACATGTCAGCGTCTCAACGGCATCGGCCGTTACGCATCGATCCCGATCCGGACCTATATACGTACCTGGCCGGTTTTACGTCTCCTCACAAAATCAGCGCCGCTCATCCCGGCGCGTGGGCAGCGATGAAGAGGAAGAGAGAAGCCGCCGCCGCCGCCGTCGCCGTCGCGGATGGAGAGACCACGACCGCCGCGGCGCGCGCGGACTCGTCGTCGTCGTCGGAGGGCGGCAGCGTCTGCGACGACGTCGTCCGCAACATCTTCGCCCGCCTGCCGGCCCGCGACGCCGTCGCGTCCATGGCGCTGTCGAGGCGCCATCGCCGCCTGATCACCGGCGAGGAGTTCCGCCGCCTCCACTGCCGCCACGGCGCGCCCCTGCCGCGCCCGCACGTCGCCTACGTCGCCACCGCGGACGTCGTCGCCCACCGCGACACCGCCGGCCGCGTCGACTCCCTCGAGAGATGGGCGCACCAGCGAGCCGCCCGCGGCTTCTCGACCGGGGCCTTCGCCTCGCAGTCGAGCTACGACGCGGCGCCGCACCGCTCGTTGAGTTACCATGGCTTCCACGTCGCCGGCGCCGCCGCCGCTGCCGGCCGTCGAGGCGGTACCAACCCGATGCGAGCGCTCGCCGGCCAGAAGTACGACAACCACAAGTACGTCGGCACGTGCAACGGCGTCGTACTCCTCGCCGACAAGGAGCCCTCCGTCGGCTTCCTCCTGAACCCGGCTATCGCCGACGGCGAGAGGAAAGTCTCCGTCGTCCCTTCCTCGCCGGACAATGACACGAAGTATCACATCTCGGGCTTCGGCTACGGCCCAAGGACAAGAACCTACAAGCTACTGCTTTGCAAGCACAAGAGCGTCGCCAACTTCAAAAGACTCAGCAATGGCGGCATAGCACGCGTTCCCGGTGCACCTTACTACCTATGGCGAGCTGACGAGTTGGTTGTTTACTCGCTCGGCGGCGGCGCGGCGGAGCAGCCGCGAACGGTGCTCGCCGGGCTGGACGGCGACATGATCCACTGCCGCTCGCTTTACATGGACGGCACGGTGTACCTCCTCAACGCCGACAAGGAGACGGTCCTCGCCTTCGACGTCGACGACGAGACCATCGCCTCCATCGCCTTGCCCGGCGAGCGCGTCGCCGGTGGCAAGCCGCGGTCGCACCTCAAATCGTATCTCATGGAGATGTCCGGGCGCGTGTGCGTGGCGACTGTCGACGACGGCGACAGGGAAACCAACGCCGTGTGGCTGCTCATCACGACCGAACGCCGGTGGGAGCGGCGGTGCGCGTTCCGCAACGACTGGTACTGGCCGGCGACGGTCGCCGGCGTCTGGGACTGCGGCGGCGCGCTGCTCATCGCCCTGCAGGCCCACGACGAGAGCTCCATCTTCCTCTACGACGACGCGACGGGGGAGGTGTTCCACCTGAACTCGCCGCCTCACGCGTCGCCGGAGAAGAGCGACTACCGAATCTGCTGGGGCTACAAGCCGACGCTCGTGTCGCCGGCGAGCATCGCGGGCGAGGCGAGCCAGGACGAGCGGCGGCGCCGCGACGTGGCGGCGGATGTGCTCGCCGCCGTGAAGCCCGTGAGCGAGGCGCACGAGCGGAAAGGTCAGAAAGCGACCCTGCACACCGTCTGCTTCATGGAGTTCTTGGTCGGCGTCATGCGGAAGCTCCCCAGCGAGTTGCACCACGGTATCGCGGATTTAGATCAGTTTTACTGATCCCTTTTACTGTGTTTGCAATCCTGAGTCACCAACCCCTCTTCGTTGTATTCCGCGCGCACGCTTTTCAAACTGCTAAACGGTGCGTTTTTCGTAAAAAGTTTCTATATGAAAGTTACTTAAAAAAAAATCATGTTGATCCATTTTTTTAAAAAAAAATAGTTAATACTTAATTAATCACGCGCTAATGGACCGTTCTGTTTTCCATACACGCTATGCACATTGGGAACCTAGGATTGCAAACACACCTACATGTTTTGCTGCAAAATTTGAAGTTGATACTTGATTCGGGCTCCTTTTGGAAATGTTTGGAATTCAGTAGGGATCACATGTACTCCCTCTGTCCCAAAAAAAGGCAAAACCTGGGTTTCCATGTCCAACTTTAACTGTCCGTTTTATATAAAAAATTTTTATAATTCGTATTTTCATTGTTGTTAGATGATAAAACATGATTAGTATTTTATGCGTGACTTGTCTTTTTAATATTTTTTATAATTTTTTTAAATAAGACGGACGGTAAAACTCTAGACACAGAAACCATGGTTTGTCTTTTTTTTTTTTGGACGGAGGGAGTAATAAAGTAGAGTTCATTTCCTGTAGGAACCAGAGAAATTCTCTGGTTCTGAATTAGTACCTCTTAAATTCCCTGTTCTGAATTACCTTTATTGTTCATTTGAACCTTAGCAGGCATAATAAAACCGAATATGCACATCTAGTATCAGTTGTGTATTGGAAGTTCTTTTCTCCTCTTGTGTGTGATCAAATTTGGAGTTTGAATTTTGCGAGATGGCACGTGGTATCATTATACATTGGTTGATTTTTCATGCCTGATTTGAGTAATCTTCATGGTCTATATTTGATATACTCACTTCTACATACCTTTCATCATTTGCAATGAAGCTGTGCTAAGAGTGTTGCAACATTGTACCAGTTTCAGTTAAAATCTGCAATAAGCCAACCTGCTAGTACATGCAATTCACTCACAAAAGTGCTATTGCATAGTTACAGGTTTTTCATTCACAAATTCTATTCACATGGATGGTTTTTCGTTCATAAATTCTATTCACAAAAGTGCTGCAAAATTTGAAGTTGATACCTGATTCGGTCTTCTTTAGAAACGTTTGGAATTCAGTAGGAATTTCATGTAATAAAACATAGTTCAGGTACTATAGGAACCAGAAAAATTCCCTGTTCTGAATTACCTTTATAGTTCAATTGAAGCCAGCAGGCAAAATAATACTGAATATGCGCATGTACACTTCTACTATCAGTGCATGGTTTGATGCATTGAAAGTTCTCTCTCTCTTATTCGTGATTAAATTTGTCGTTTGAATTTTGCGAGATGGCACTTGGATCATGCAGTGCTTGATTTTTCATGCCTGATTTGAGTAACCTTCATGGTCTATACATTTGATATACTCACTTTTACATATCCTTCGCATGGGCAAATGAAGCTGTGCTAAGGAGAGTGCTGCAACACTGTACCAATTTGGAGTTAAAATCTGCAATAAGCTAACTTGCTAGTACATGTAATTCGCTCGCAAAATTTATAGTGCATAGTTACAGGTTTTTCATTCACAAATTCTATTCACATGGGCAAAAATAATCATTGTGTTCACAATTGTGTAGTTCTACGGCAGTACCCCTCTACCACACATGATACAGCAAAGAAGCTTCAGTTGCAAACATGCAATTATTCTGAAGCAAAACTGGAATTAATAGTGCCAGGTGAAACAGGGTACCACATCCTTTCAAGCATCATCACTAGATTTAATTAAAAATTACAACATGCGAAGGACGGATTAGATCATAAGCACTTCAATGAAAAATAAAGGTTGCTCGGAATACATCTAATAACCTAAACAAAATATTTCTAAGCCATCCTTTCATACATCAGCTTGCATGCACCAACCCTGTTCAGAAACACAAAGGAAAGCAAACCTAGAAGAACTCGAACTCTAGATAATTGTCTGAGCCCTTCTGGTTGGCAGCCGGGGCAACCTTCTCAGTAGCTGGTGCTGGCTTTGGTGGGCGCTCGAGCTCAACTGGCTTGGGTATCTCAGGAGGGCTTGCACATCGTATGAGCGCCCAATTCACGCCCTCAAAGAATGGATGCTGCTTTATCTCCGTCGCCCCACGCTTGTAGGCAAGACGGTGCTGCGGGTCCTTGACCAGCAATCCTCTTATCAGGTCCCTGGCTGAGAAGCTCACCATTGGGGATTCCGGGAACCGCAGGGGCTGGCCAACAACATTGAAGAGTGTAGCCCGGTTTCCTGATCCCTTGAAAGGGGTCTTACCGAACAAGAGTTCATACAGGAATATGCCAAAGGTCCACCAATCCACAGCACTGCCGTGACCCTCTCCCTTGATGATTTCTGGTGCCAAGTACTCATGAGTGCCAACAAAGGACATGGACCGAGCATCAGTCGGCTCAGCGATGAGCTCCGGCAGTGGGCTAATTTGGTTGACAACCTCAGGCTTTGATTTCTTCTCCTTCTTGGACTTGGACTTAGACTTGGAGGAGAAAAAACGGGGACCAAAGCAGGTTGTTGGAGCTACACATGATGGCTGGATGCAGGATGGCTGAATACAGGCAGGCTGGACACAATAAGCTTGATTGTTCCTCTGCAACGCATCTGGTCCAGGATTCGCGGACTTGACAACAGTAGGGCTTACAGCACAACGAAGGGAGAGATCAAAATCAGACAGCATTATGTGCCCATCCTCCCGGACAAGGACATTTTCTGGTTTCAGATCACGGTATATAATCCCAAGCATATGCAGGTATTCTAATGCAAGAAGAACCTCTGCCACATAGAACCTGAAATACCAAGAGATCACCAAAAGTTTCAATGAGAAGAGTCATCCATGCCTTTCAAGACGCCAAAAAGAATTAATGAGTTAGCAAACAACAATTGATCATGAGCACTTACAAAGTTCTAAACTATATTAAAGCAGTGGTTGTAGATTACAGGATTCTAGTCACATAGTACAATAGAAGTTATGGGCCTTATGACTGGTATTTAAAGGGGATTCATGCAAAAGAATGTATAAATGCAGTGATACCACAAAATGGAAATGATGGGAACATAAATTATATGTATGATCATACTTGTAAACCTCAAAGACAAAATGGTATGTGTTATATCTGATAATGAATGGAATTTGAGTAGTTGTCACATACTTTGCTGCTTGCTCTGAGAAATGCTTTCCAGGCTGCCTTTGTCGAAGAGTGTGCAGGTCCCCTCCTGGGCAGAACTCCATAACCAAGCATGAGAACTTATCTGTCTCGAAGTGGGTATACAGTGTTGGCAGAAATGGATGATCCAGAGATTGCAGGATCTCCCGCTCTGTTTGCGCTCGAAGCAGCTTCTTCCGACTTGCTAGAGACCCCTTGTCCATGACCTTCATTGCAAAGTAACTCCTTGTACCACTCAATTCAGAGAGGTAGACGCTACCAATATCACCACAGCCCAATTTCTTGAGCAATCTAAAATGGCTCAAACCTAGAATACCATCCTTGGACCTGATCATCCGGATTGCTTCCCACCTTGAATCACTCCCTTTGTGCGGCTTCGTTGTGCTGCTGCTCAGGCTGCTGCACGAGCTCTCATCACTGACGTTGCTGCTCGTGCTCGGACGGCACATGCTGCTCTTCCCACTCTCAGTAGAATCAGCTGTATCACTGACCTTGCCACTTCCACATGTCTTCCTCAGACCATTCGTCCCGTCGCTAACTTTAGCAGAAGCAAAGCTCTCGCTAGTGCTGCTCTTTTGCGCCGTCTTCTTCTCCTGATTCCCGTTGCAATCCAAGCCTTGGATTTCTTTCAGCTCCCCAGAGTCTCCTTTTGGGGTTAGTGGCACATCCAAGACACCAGAGTCTGAACCAACGTTAGAAGGACCCTTGTCCAATATAGATTCAGAAGACTCTTGCCGCCGATGAGCCGGCTTTTGCTCCTCTAAAATCTCCTTAGCAATAAGGTCTGACCTGCCATCTTTTCCGGCCTTGCTCGCCTTTGCATGAACAGGATCAACAGCAGGTTTAACCAGGTGTGCAGGCACAATCTGCTTCACCGCCTCAACAGACATGATGGTCAATATTGCTTGTACAACTGCAAATCTAGAGAAAAGCTCACTCCACTTTCTTTAAGCATCCAAGGAAGTTCACTGATTTAACATCCAGGCTGGTCAAAAGAGTCCGTGCCTAACTCCGCATCTGAAATCCATCACAAAAAGAGATGCATTAGCATATCAAATGAACGTACCAGACATGAAAACAAAAGAACTAAGAACTAGCCAAGAAATGCAACTGAGAAGAAATTAACATGATCAGAGAAAACCTCAAACTGCGAAACCACCTCTTCCCAGGGAGAGGGGATGAGGGCCAATACCAGGGAACGAAAACAAAAGGGGATCTTCTAAATACCCACAAAAACAAGAAAAATACCGACGGAAAATGGTGCAAACCTGGAAAAAGCTAGCGGCAAGATCACAAGCCCCATCTTTATCACTCCATCGAAGAAAAAGAAAACGGTGCGCATGATAAAGCGCATAAAAATCATATGAGCACTAACTCCCGGAGCAACTGGATGAACAAAAAGCGAGGGAAACAAAACAGACCAGGTCTAGAAAGTGACGGGCGACGACATTGCATAAGCAGATCAAGAAAGAAAAGCCGGCAAACGAGGAGGCAGTGGCAATCACAGTCAGTCAGTCAGTCAAACCATCACAGAGCATTGAAAACCAAGGAACCAAGGTAGTACCTTCGTCTAGGTAGGCCTAGGAAGCCATGGCTGCTCTGCTCCAGCTGCTGGCTTGACACAACGATTTGAGGAAAGCAAGAAGAGAGCAAAGGCTTTCTGCAACGGATTAGGGGTGGATTAGTAGTATATGTGCTCACAGGATGGAGCCATGGAGAAGGCAAAAGGCAAAGCTAGCTAAGCTCCCCCATGCCTTGTGCTGACCTGTGTGGGGTTGGACAGTTGGAGGGTGGTGGTGGTGGTGGCTGCAAAACAAACAAGTTCCTGTAAAGAAGAGAAGTGCATAAACAAGTAAGCAAGTGAGCTCAGAGAGTGGTACTGGAGTACTACTACTGTGGCGTGGTGGTCTCCCAGCCCTAGCCCTAAGATAGTTTCTTGTTTTTTTCCCTTGCACTTGTTCACTTCCATCAAGGCCACCACCCTCACAAATTTAATCCCAGTTTTGACCCACCCAATGTCCACTTTTGTGTGCAGCTGCAGCACCCTAGGGACCCTCTGTTCCTCTCCTTCCCTCCTCATGTAACCCCAATTAAAAGAGCAGAGCCCATCTTTGTAGCTTTGTTAGTAGCACTAATTACTTTACTGTTCACTAGTACTGGGGTAGTATTCCTATTGTTGTCATTGCAAATGGTTTCAGATTTTCTTTACAATATGGAGAAAAACGAATTTACTCCCTTCGCTTCAGATTATTTGTCTAGATTTCACACGGAACAAGTACTTTTGTAAAAAAAAAAGCTAAAATAATGAGTAATCTGAAACGAAGGAAACAAAAATAAGTTCAGGATTTAACCAATTCCAGCAAAAACTCTGTAAATAGAGCAGATACAGAAAAAAGAGATGATGTTTGCGTGCCGTTGATTTCGCCAAGGGCAGATTGGGAATCCAAGTAGGAGTCTGAGAGAGAGAGAGAGAGAGGAGAGGCAGGAAACAACCTTCGCAGCCTTCAATCACTCCCTGTCCCCCGGCCCGCGCCCCCGATGCAGCTTTGGCTCCGGATAATTCCGCCGCTAATCTCGAGGCGCGCAAAGCACCACGGCGAGGGCATCGGAATTCGGGCCAGCTCCATGTGTGAGACGGACGGTTGGTGGTGGGTTGATCTCGAGCTGGGCGCACCAATCTTGAAGCGCGGTTAAAATGAGATCAAAACCCACGAGGACCGAGAAGTTTGAAACAGCCTGCCGCTTCGTCCGAGATATGGACTTCACTTCACCCTAGCAGCAAAGCATTTGACTGTACTAGAAAGCCGCTTTCATGCAATGGAAACGGCTTTCGGCGAAAGAAAACAGCCTTGTGCTGAGAGCCTTGTTTGAGAGCTCTAAATTCTAAGAAATAACTGCTAGTAACATAATAGTCAGATAGTAAGAATAATATGAAAACGCTAGATTTTTCAGCTTATAACTTCTATTAGAATAAGTTTAATAGTATAGTCAGCTACTAGTCTCAAAAATTGAAACATCATCTATATATAATCTACTCACTCTGTCCTTAAAAAAAGCGCAGTCATGAGTTTTCGTGTTAAACTTTAATCGTTCGTCCTTTTTAATTTTTAAAAAAAAAACTAAAAACATAAGCCATGCATAAAATACTATTCATGTTTTATAATCTAATAATAATAAAATTACTAATTATAAAAAAAATCAAATAAAAGAACGATCAAAGTTAGACATAGAAACTCATGGCTGCGCTTATTTTGGAAACGAAGGGAGTATTAGTTTACTCATACAATAGTTAATTGTAGATATATAATATATTATTAATAACTAATCCACACATTTCTCTCAGTTTAATAGAGCCCGTGCTGCGACTTTGACTATAGAAGCCTCGTTTTTCTTCTCTCTTCTCCACATAAGCACACAAATGTGATTTGGTAATATTATTTAAGGGATTTAGAAATTGTAGCTACGAAAAACTCTCCTAAACAGGGTGAGCAGTTATTAAGCAGTAATCACTATATGGTGAGCAGTTATTAAGCAGTATCATAATTTTCTTGCCTGTTTGATGCTTCCTGGTTGCTCCTGCCATATTTCAACACCATGAAATGGACCAGCTTTTAGCCAAATAAAATCTATATGTAATTAAAATTCAGATATGTATATCAATGTACATGTACTGAGACAATAACAGTTGCGACAGCCAGATCTATGGGGGGCCAGGTTTGCAGAATCTTTGTAGCTGCCATGTTGCCTCATCAGCAAACAGCACAGAGCAGCCCTGCTCATCCCATCACCATCCAAATCTCCGAAAGCTCCTATTCATGCGTACTATACTACCACCACCACTACTACCAAAGATCTGTTCATAGTGCTCATCACTCACAACAGTTTTGCAGAACCAAAACGGGAGCTCGTAAGAAGCAGGAATGGGAAGTTGAGTTCTGATTTTCTGAAACAAGCAGTAACACGGCTAATTGTTTCTGTTCAGTTTCTAGGGCACCGATTGGCAGGCTACGAGGAGCGCGCGCACACAGACACACTCAACGAGTAAAAGGCTCAATGCTAGGCTACACTGTTATGTCACCTTTTCCTGGTCCGTCATCGCTATCATCAGAGAGAAAATGGCTATTCTACTCTACGTGGTCCATGGATCTACATCAAGGCGAGCTGAGCAAGTGCAACTCGAAAGGAATCTTTCAAGGGTTGTTAGGTCATTCAGGTCCATGCTAGGTTTGCAGCATGCTTGACTGGCCATTCAAACTTAGCCATTTAAGCCACAGCAGGTAGGCATATATACAAGAGCTAATAGCCATTATGTACAGTCAAATGAGTTATAATTAATGGCCAAATAAGATGGTTTAGAGCAGGCGAAAACAGATAGTGGTTAGTTTAAGCTTGATACAACAAAGCCTATCTAGGTTTGGAGCCATGAGCCCCAGCACATGGAGCCCCTCAATGTACAAAGGCATCTATTGGAGATGCCTTCCAAGTACTTGTTCTAATCTTTGGAGGCTACATGTGCAGTGTCAGGGGATAATGAGATATGGCAGAATCCTAAGTGCAAAACGTGCTTGCTAAACCAGTCAAAATGGTATTGAGTAGGATGGGTCCAATGAAACATGTTTGGCTTGTTCTCTGAATGGTTTCTCCTAAACAAAAGAATCAGAATGGTATGACGGTTATACTAGACGTTACCTGGAATTGACAGTGGCAGGTGAGTACTCCCAATTAGATGCAAAACAAGCTGAGGGACAAAACCGGCAGCCTTTTATCAGTCACCTGCAAAGTGAAAAAGGTTTCATTAGTATAAAGGACTTGCAGGACTAGTACGCACCAACAGTAGATGCAGAATCACAGGCCACAAGATGTAATGTAATAGGAAAATGTGTTAACAACTTACAACTCAGATCGATAGTAGCAATATGGAGCCCACCAGAATGTGATGCGCTATGTTAGGCAACTGCAAGTTTAAACAGCAATTAGGTATAAAAGGCAAGATTATAGTTGACCTAAAAACAGGATTGGAATCAGGACATGTAGTAAACAAGATATTCTGCCAGCAGCTTTGTTCTTCAGATATGTCCCTTTCCTTTTCTCTTTTTAAATCTCCATACACATCACATGGTGCTGACAAGGTTGCAACTTGCAACCCCAGATCGGAAAGATGGTCTGCCCACTGGGCATCAGTGACAGAACATGATTTGTTGATTAACAGAAAAAGGAAATAAAACACTTCAACAAGCCTTACAGAAGTTTTTGGATAATGTCACAAGCCCCAGATCCAAGCGAGCTGCATAGGCAGAAACTTATACCCAACAATTGTTTCTCCTGGTTGAGCTTAGTCCAGACAGATAGGCAGGGCAATGTGCAGATAACCAGATATATTGTGATGAAGAATCCTGCAAACATAATGAAGCCACTATCGCTTCAACAGTAGTAGCTGTGAAATCTTACTAGTGTATAGCAGCAGGGCGCCATTTTGGCATACAATATGGATGCTTTGCTTGCACGAGCATCAAAGAAGGTCGATCATTTATTGTGAAAGAAGCAAAATTATGTACAGATATGATCATTCCGAAGATCTTCAGCAAAAAGAAAGGTGATACAGCCATCTTAAAATGACTTCTACCATCTGCATAACTAAGATACACACAGGCCACAAAAGGCAAAAGCCACTTGAGTAACATGTATCACTACCAGTAGGAATGTTGAGATTTGCCTGTACATTTTGTTACTAAACAAGGAGCTCAGCGATGTTGTAGAATATCACTTTCACAAGGTTGTGAAATATCCAACTAATTTAATCGCCGTTGTGGAATGGGGGGTGCAAGAACTGCAGAGAAGGTAGGAACCTACAGATTTAATCACAACAATACCTAAAATAAATATGTGCACATACTAATAAACATCATGCCAAAGCTTACCGTCAGATAAACTGAAAGAGCACTTTCGTTCAAAAATTTCTCTAGGATCTAAGGTCCGATTGGATAGAAGTATTTCATCCAAGATTTCTTTCCTGAAAATAAGGGGAAAAAATCAGGGGTGGAACATTAGTGGACAATTCTTTCTAATAAGCACAGCATAATATTCTTGGTTTCATCAGCAACATAAATTACGGGTTTGTTAGTCTATTGTGTCCTCAACAGGAAATCATCAGCAACGTAACATTCACAAACCTAAGTCCCTTTCAATGAATGAAAAGGGGGAGCATATTTTTTTAGAAAGGTTAAAAAATTTAAACATGTTTAACATTGAAATGCAAAGGCAAAACAGATGCAACAAGAACTAGAGAACTGCTGACCCATGACCAGGATTTCCCTTACTGCCAGTTACCGCAGTAACCGGTCTCACCACGGAGGCGCAGTAACGATAAGTGCCCGGTAATCAAAATAAATTTAAACAAAATTTTGAATTTTTCATAAATGTCGTCCAGCTTTCCCACTGTTCACTGTAATAACCGCACAGTTACCTTAGTTACCAGACTTATCACCACAGGGTGTGGTAACCACTCCTCTCCAGTAAGGTTAACCCTGCCCATGACAAGTTTGGCACAATGTGTCGTGTCCTATTAAAAGTACTTCTCCATCCGGTTCCACAATTCTTAACGTTTTGGACAATGACAGTCTACAAAATATATATTTGGCTATGTTTTTCTATTATAATATATACAATAAATAAATACATTTTTTACTTTTATTATAGTACTTTGTAAGACAAATCTATATGTGTTGTTCTAGTATCTTTAAACTAAATAATTTAAAAATTATTGATAGTCAAAGTCATAAATGTTTAAACTCAATCTTGTCCAAAACGTCAAGAATTATGGAGCCGGAGAGAGTACTAGTTTAGAGAGGATTGCTTCGACTATAAATCTACTCTCTCCATCCCAAAATAAAGTTCATCTTTCACTCATCCACACATACCAATACAAAACCAAAAAGACTAGAATACCCCTACTTTATCAAATCCCAATACAACTATTCCTCACTTTATCTACTCTCAATACAATATTTCCTACTTTCACAAACTCCGATGCAATGATTACTCTAAAAATAAACTTATTTTGGGATAAATGGAATGAACTAAAAATGAGCTTATTACGGGACGAAGGTAGTAGAACACTGACCGAGTCCATGGTGGAATATGTTTCTGTCTGCGCCTTACTTTCTCTTTGTGCTCCAAGTCACCACCATCCTCTTCATCAGAATCTTCATAAGGAGACATTTCATAGGACTGCAGCAGATGTGCACCAAAAATGTGAAGTATTGTTTTCAATATGTTATGATATCTGACAACATATGATATTTAAAAGCAAATAAAGCAGCCCATATTGCAGTTGTGTGTAGTTTTGGCCAGCAGTTGTTAAGAAACTGATGGATATACCCAAACATTACTCCAAGTAACCAAAAGACAGACTACAGGGGAGTAGGGGACAATATCCAGATTCAGTAATCAGTACTTGCTTTGTTCTTTCACTTTTATAAGTTTTTTAGTTTTTTTAGTACTCTACATCACTAGTAACGATATAAGCTGCTACAGCACAGAAACACTTTTACTGACAATGATTTTGAATATCCAACTTTAAAAAAAATAAACATATTAATATTCAAAGCTTCAAACATTTGATAGTTCAAAGTTTACGAAATTACTCAGCATTCAAACTGTTGCAACAACTGTTCAAAGTTCAGAAGTGTATAGTACCAAGTCATCAATTCAATATTAATGATCAGCATTACTATATGCAACCACAAAATAGGTCCCTGCCATTAACTTACAAAACTTAATGTAAGCATGCACCTTATCGGCATCATCAGATAATCTTCCATGAATCTGATGACCAGAACTTCCAGAATTCCCATCTGCAACCACAGCTTTTACATTGTTGCTTCCAGATGTTACTAATATAGGAAAAGATTCTGTCTTTTCATCAGATAATAATTGGTTTATCACTACTCTGACAGTATTCTTCCTGATTTCTGTGTCATCCTGCAATGATTAAGCCAATTGGAAAACAATGTAGATTTCAAGGTATTGTAAAAAAGACAATATGAATTATGGTGTTTACTCACAGGATCCTTCTGACTAGCATCTTCCCGACTGTTCCCAGCATGCATTCTTTCTCCCAGCTGTTTTTGCTGTTTACGTGGTTCTTCAATGAATTTCTTTTTCTTCTCCTTTTCCTTCCTTCCATCATCTTCCCACTGCCTCTTTCTAGCATCCGTTTTCTTCTTCTGCTCCATCTGTTTAAGTTTTTGCTCCCTCTCTTGCTTTACTCTCTCGCGCTCTAGTTCAGCAGCTGCTTTGCGCATCTCACGCTCATTTTGTTTCTTCTGTTCACGACGCTTTACAGCTTCAGCCACCTCGAGCGCCTTTACTCTAACATCTCTTTTCACTACAACAAGTTAAATGTTTTGAGATATATGCGACATTCATAATATGTGAACAGAGGAAATGTAGTGATGTTGAATGCCATTGTGCTTATGATCCTAGCTTATCGCAAGATTGCATTAGCATAATGATTCAACATACATTTTAGCTAAAAATGATTTCACACACATAAGACTTACCACATACTGTTGTAGGCCGTTGCTTTTGTTTTACAAGTGGTATAAATGATGTCATGCTAGTGACAATATTACTAGGTTTCCATCCTTTGTCAAGATTTACTTCACTTTTGTGAATTTCATTTTGATTACCCAGAATTCTTCCCTTGCTTTCTCTGTCATGGAGGGACTGTGTCACTTTAACTTCTTTCCTAATTGAAGGAGCACGGTTCTCCTTTGGGTTTTGCATGGCTTGATCAATTATGAGGTGTGCTTGATGATCAGACTCCCTACTGGAAGCTGTAGTGGTTGGCAAATCTAGCCTCCCTACATCCATATATTTTCTGGAAGCTTCTGAAGTACTGCTATCTTCATCAATTTGGAAGCAAGCAAGATCTGTTATGGAACCTGTACAGTTGGAAGTATAACAGACTCCTGATGGCTTCTGCAGGCTATACTTTCCAAATGATGGTGTCAAAGGAATTTCACAATCCTCTTGATTACCAAAAACCCCCATCATTTTGGTGTCATAACTTGGATAATGCCATTTAGGTTCCACCTCCACGAGGGAGGCTGGGCCCAAAAGTTTCTCAAACCTAGCTGTCAATGATTCATACTTACTCCTCAGCGGGGATGTTATCTTACTGTTAATCTTACACTTCGAGGAGAGATTGGAGCTCAGGTTGACCCACTTTGTGGAATCACGATATGCCTCAAGTACCCTTTCTTTGATGGTTGGACTGTTAGCTGGAATAGGAATGCCACAGCTTTGGTGCACTTCAACGGTTTCATCGAAGTCAGCACAATTATCACCATTTTGCAATGGAATATGACCATCTGAGACAGGCTGTCCAGGATCATCATGAATACATTTCTCGCCAAGTTCTTTGTTGGAACAGTTTGAAGCACAGGCTTGCTGACTTTGCTGATCTGAAGAAGCATAGCTTGGAAATGTACTTGGTGGAGTGGAGCTGGGATGATTTTCTGGATTCAACACTTCACACCCAGATGAAACATAATCCGTATGATTCAATATCTGGTCGTCTACTGCCACATATTTTACATCTGCACCAGGATATACAGAGCAGTTGTTTGTCTGTAAACAAAGAACGAAAGTTGTTTAGAGTTCTTGTCAATAAAAATAACAATGCACAGCCCCATGTAACACAGGAAAAGAAACAAACAAACACGACCAAAACATATGAATGCTTCAAAACAGAATTTAATAATTGAAAACAGTTTAAAGTATTCATGTTAAGTACTGAGAATTCTAGAATATAACTCTGAACAGGTTAAACTTGTTTTCCAATGGAAAGAATTTTTTAATAAAAAGGTACTTTTTATATACAAATGTACCTTCCTTGTGTACTCTCCATCACCATCTGATAAGATATCAGAGCAGTTAGGTAAAGAATCTTGGGGAACAGTTGCTACATTACCACTTAGACTACTGCTGCTACTGGACAAAGATTTCATCCTCAGTGAATTAAAGTGGATGATATCTGATAGGCTAGACATAGTTCTTTGAGAGGAAGAATCTACACTGGTATGAACTTTATATGACACGGAACTCTTCCAGTTACTTGTAACGATCCTTCGTTCTAAATCAAGCGAAATGCACTCACTAGATCCCAGGCGATCTAAGTGGTGAACTGGATGTTGTGGCTTCCCTGACATGTCTGCTCTATTTTCCATCTTGTCAAGAATGTCAGGTTGACAATCCATAGATGTACTCATTGTGCTACACAAGCTGTACAGGGCATGATCTGATTGGCAGTTAATCTCTATCCCTTCAAAAGATGAATTCCCTTGTACTTGGATTACATCTGCAACTGATCTTCCCTGGTGACTATTGTTGCTTTGAGCATCTGATTTCTTTGATGTAATCTCCCCACATCTAGAACTATGTAAAAGGTGCTGAGCAGAAGGTTGCGTAGCCAGGGCTTGCTTATCGCTCACTGTTTCACATGAATCGGAATCTATTTCCATGGCAATATCAAAAGAAAATATCTTACATTCTGTCCCTGCAGAATTAAAAGTTTGGTAAGAAAACAAGAAGCATGGCATTCAATGAGGATGAGATGTTTAATCCAAACATTAGTAAACATTACCGTCATGGCTTCTTAAGAGTTTCTCTGCTGATTCTGTACTAAACCTTTCTGGTATCACAGATCCATTCATGTCATTTCTAACATAAACATCATAAGCTTCACTCTGAGCTTCAAAACATTTTTCCTGTAGCGTTGACAACATTTTTGGAGCTTCACAAACAGTACTGGCCAGATAATCAGGTTGCAGAGAAGATCCATCACATGGAGGAGACAGCACATGACATTCTGAGCCCTGCTGTTCGTCACCCAGCATATTCTCCTGTGGCGTTGACAACATTTTTGGAGCTTCACAAATAGCATTGGCCAGATAATCAGGTCGAAGAGAAGATCCATCACATGGAGGAGACCGCACATGACATTCTGAGCTCTGATGTTCAAGAATCTTCAAGTTTTCATCAACTCTCTTATCAGGAAAACTGTATTCTCTAGGTGTATCAGTATCTTCTTCTTGGTCCAGGATTTCAACAGAATCAGTTTCAGCAGTATGTCTTGCATCTGCTTGAGACAGTGAAGTTGGCACTGAATCAGGTCCTTCCAGCAAATTAGTTTGCAATCGATCATTGTCAAACTGTGGGCTAGCCATAGAAATCAGCCCTGCAACAGATTCTGTTTTAGCAATCGGCTCCATAAGAGAAACAGTATCACCCGCATCCGCTATTTCCTTTTGAGACAGTGGAGTGAACACAGAATCAGGTCCTTCAAGAGCAATAGATTTAAGAGACAGCAAGGAAACATTTTCAGGAAGTTGGCTAGCCATACAAGTCATCCCTGTAAGAGAGTCAGTTTCGGAAACACCCATTGTTATCTGTTCAGGCAATGGACTGGAGACAGAATGAGGTATTCCTTGTAAATTAGATTCAACAGGTTGCGATGTATCCTCTTGAAGCAGCGAACTCATGACAGAGTGCGGTACTTCAACAGGACTGGTAGAAGGAAGTCCTTCATTTAGTGAATGTGCGATGTTAAACTCCTGGACAACAGACTCAGACACACATATCTGTGACTGATCAATTTCTCCGGCATAATTTACAATATGCAAGCCACCTGGTTTGCAACCACCAAATTCATGTGTTTTTGGCTTGACCCGTTGATAGGTTTGAGACTGAGCATGATGCAGACTGTTTTCATTTCTCATATGAGCAAGATCTATAGATGACATTTTTGTATTATTTCCTGCAGAAAAAAAATCCCTGCACTGTTATTTTTTTGTTTCGAAAGCCACAAATGGGTAAAGGCCTATAATGGGGAGGATTAGATTAGAGGCACTGATAAGAGAATGAAAATCATAGCACATTACCATGTTTACAAAAAACCATTCAACTGGCAGTTTAAATTCCCGTTCGGCCTAACCATTTTTCTTTTGCACTATCATGTAAATACGATCCTTCACAATTTCTCATGATATTCAGTAAACTGAAGCAGGTTAACCATACCCAAGTCAAACAAGCTAATACAACTACAATTTGAGCTCCCAAGCCGCTTAAAATCTTGCAAGTTACTACACGCAATTCAGAGCGTTAGTACTACCACTCTGTGTCATTTCCCTTGTTACTTTGTTAGTGAATCCATGATGGTGCGAAGTTCTATTGGTTCGCCTTAAACACGAATACCCACAAAGCATATCAGCACATAAATCGAAATGGGGCCAACAGATGCTCCGCCCAAAATCGAAATGGGACTCGCACAAACTCCCCGCGAATACGGGTGCGCTACGGAATCGAGGCCCCAAAAAAAAAAACACAGCGACCTAACAGGCGGCAACCCGCGGCGAAAAGGAGACTGGCTTACCGCGCGCGGGGACGGAGTCGAGTGCCGGGAGGAGCCACGGCGGCGGGCGGCGGCCGGCGGCGAGGATGGCGCAGGCGAGGGACTCGGAGTAGGACACCACCTGCTCCTGCACCTGCGCCTTCACCCAGTCCCGGCGCTCGAAGACCTGCATGAAGAGCTCCTCCATCGCGGTCGCGGGCGAAGGTCGGGGCGATCGGGGGGCTAGGGTTTGGTCATGGAGGGGAGGGGAGGCCCCCCGCGGGGAGGCGTTTGAAATTGTTTGTTCGATTGGCAAAGGGGAGGAGACGAGTAGGCGATAAGCGGTGGGGAGTGGGATAATGGGCCTAAGCCCGTGCTTCCGATGCAATGATGGGGCGGAAATAGTAAAATTTGAGGCCCATGTTAAAAGTCAAGTTTAGTCCTCAAACTTCCGGCAGACTTCATAACGCTTTTAAATTGCTTCTAAAATGGATTTTGTAGTTAAATGAATTTAATCGCTTGTTTCTTCTTGTAAAAGTTACTTTGGTTGAATTTTGTGAGATGATAAATGGCGTCATAAGCTTGTTTTACAGAATATTCTCAAAATTCATTTGGAGTAATCTCAAACCAGTTCAAACCTCCAAGGTACGATTGACATGCAATTAGTCCTGGGAGGTTTTCTAAAAGAATGGTAATGCGGATGATGCAATCCACCAACCAAATTCGACTTGAATCATTTTTTCTGACATACTACAAGTTTGTTTTTTATTAATGGAAATACTGCCAGGAGTATCACTTCTTTTTGTTGAAATTTCAGGACTATCACTTATCGGTCCGACCAAACTCAAAATCAAAACCAGATGGCGCCAATCCTCAGGTTTGAAGTTCCAACCTCAATTTTTCAAGTTCAGTTCGCGAAATGTAAACAAGTTCCCCGAAATTTAAACTCCCGCCAAAAGAAAACAACGCAATTACTCTTCGAACCTTCAATTTTCAAGCGCCTCCTCAGTACCGCCAAATATCTGAAGCTCCCGACCACGAGCCCCTGGAATCGAATACCGAGTTCAAAATTATCAGAGCCCGCCAAAACTACAAAGCGCCTAACCCCGCAGCAACAATTCGAATTAAAGCAAACTCAACCGACCGAATCGAATCTGCTCTTGGTTGAACACATTGAGCTGGAAATTTCGCACTGAGCAGGATGTTCTCTCCAAAAATCGGCAAATCTCCATAAAGAATTTCTACAAACAGAACCAGATGCCACGAAGGGAACAATTCATATTCAGCAGCAAACATTCAAAACGTGAAACCGTAGCACTGAAACAAATTTGTCCAACTAAACAGCATCCACAATTCCACACAAAAATGACGCGAAGAATGATAGTAACAATTTAGCAACCAGAGGTTGCAACCATCACCATTAATTTTAAGATCAGAACTCAACGGGCACAACCAAGAGATTCTTACAGTAATCAGCAAGCACTAGACAGGAACACTAGACACAAGAGAAAGAAATCAGAGATCGACAGGGCAACTACCACCGCTGCCATGGACTCGCTACGACGAAAACGAAGAGAAAATCACCAAACACCTACTACACTAGAGCGCCTAAGAGCTGGTGAACTTGGTGACGGCCTTGGTGCCCTCGGAGACGGCGTGCTTGGCGAGCTCGCCGGGGAGGACGAGGCGGACGGAGGTCTGGATCTCCCTGGAGGTGATGGTGGGCTTCTTGTTGTACCTGGCGAGCTTGGCGGCCTCGCCGGCGAGCTTCTCGAAGATGTCGTTGATGAACGAGTTCATGATTGACATGGCCTTGGAGGAGATCCCGATGTCCGGGTGCACCTGCTTGAGCACCTTGAAGATGTATATCTTGTAGGTCTCGACGCTCTTCTTGGCCTTCTTCCTGCCGCGCTCCTTCTTGCCCTCGCCGCCCTTCTCCCCCTTGGACGCCGGCAGCCGCTTCTCGGCCTTGGGCTTCTTCCCGGCCGCGGGCGCCTTCTCGCCGGCCTTCTCCTCCGCCGGCTTCTTCTCCGCGGGCTTCTTCTCGGCCTTGGGCGCCATCGAGATCGGTGGTGGTGGTGGTGGTGTTGGACGAAACGAGCGAAAGGAGGCGAGGCGAGTGTGTTTCTGATTTGGAGATTGGATTGTGTTGTGCGGAGAAGACGAGTTGGCGATTTTATAGCGGTGGAGAGGTGGTGCGCGATTGGTGGGAGGCGGGGTGCCGCGGATCGATGACGTGGAACACATCGGGAGCGTCCGTTGGGTTCGGAACCGACGGGACGGATGCGTTGGGCGCGGATCGGTGACGTGGCGAGGGTGTGGGGCGGGGAGGACCAGGTTTTCTGCCCGGAACGGTGACGTTGCTTTGTAATGGGCCACAGCCCATGCTTCCGATGCAATTATGGGCCATGTTAAAAGTCAAGTTTACTCCTCGAACTTCCGGCAGACTTAATAACGATTAAAATTGCTTCTAAAATGAATTTTGTAGTTAAATGAATTTAATCTCTTGTTTCTCCTTGTATGAGTTACTTTAGTTGAATTTTGTGAGATGATAAATGGCATCATAAGCTTGTTTTACAGAATATTCTCATAATTCATTCGGAGCAATCTCAAACCAGTTCAAAGCACAAACCTCCAAGGTGAGATTGCCATGTCATTAGTCCCGGAAGGTTTTCTAAAAAGAATGGTACTTACTCTATTTTATAATGTAAGTCATTCTATCATTTTTCAAATTCATATTGATGTTAATGAATCTATATCAATATAAATGTGAAAAATGTTAGAATGACTTACATTGTGAAACGGAGAGAGTAATATTAGGGCCGGAGTTTAGTTCCTAACTTTTTTTTTCAAACTTTCAACTTTTCCATCACATTAAAACTTTCCTACACACGTAAACTTCTAACTTTTTTCTTTAAACTTCTAATTTTAGCGCAGAATTAAACACAGCCTAGGATGGTGGAATCAATCAACCAATTTCGACTTTCGGTCATTTGTGTAAGCTGGACTTTAGTAAGCCAATTCCAGAGGCATAGCTTGCATTTTGGAATCTGAAATTAAATGGCCAAGATGAATACTAATATATGCTTATTTTATTCCAGCAAATTTAACAGGATATTGTCATGGCTATCAGAAAATAAGATCAAGGAAGACAGCTGCGAATTCGTTGGTCCCTCGCTCATCGGTGTCCTGATAATATTTCCAGTGATTTTTTTTCTGACATTCTCCTACAGTCATATTCCCTTCGTTAAAAAAACACAAACCCTGATTTCTGTGTCCAACATTTGACCGTCTGTCTTATTTGAAAAAAATATATAAAAAAAATTAAAAAGATAAATCACGCATAAAATATTAATCATGTTTTATCATCTAACAACAATAAAAATACTAATTATAAAAATAATTCATATAAGACGGACAGTCAAACGTTACACGGAAACCTAGGGTTTATTTTTTTTTACGGAGGGAGTACTAGTACAAGGTAGTAGACCAGGAGTATCACTTCTTTTCTTGAAATTTCAGGAGTATCACTTGTCAATCCGCCCAAACTCAAAATCAAAACAAGATCCCACCAAACCTCAGTTTTCAAGCTCCAACCTCAATTTTTCAAGTTCAGTTTGCGAAACGTAAACAAGTTCCCCAAAATTTAGGCTCCCGCCAAAAGCAAACCACGTGATCACGCTTCGACCCTTCAATTTTCAAGCGGCTTTTCTCAGTCCCACCAAATTTCTGAAGCTCCCGCCCACACGATCCCGTGGAATCGAATACCCAATTGAAAATTTTCAAAGCCCGCCAAAACTACAAAGCGCCTATCCCCGCAGCCACAATTCGAATTAAACCAAACTCAAGCCACCGAATATGATCTCTCTGCTCTTGGTTTGAACAGTTTAGCTGATGATGAGCGGTGCCCAATCTCAGTATTGTTCCCAAGATAAAAATTTCGAAACTGTGCAAGTGGCTGTATCCAAATACCAGTAAAACTCCATAAAAATAAAATAAAAACCTTCAAACCAAAAAAAAAATGTAAGAACTGAATAATTCAGTTTCAGTAACTTTACAAGACGTGAAACGAGCACTGAAGCAAATCCAGAACAACAAAAACTGAACATATGTTCAATACCACCGCATCTGAAATTCCACACAAAAATGACACGATACATGACAACAGTTCGGCAACCAGAGGCTGCAAACCGTCAACATTGATATTCAAGATCGGAATTTAACAGGCATAACCACGAGCTTCTTAGGGCATCAGCAATACGTATCCCCAGCCCGTCCCCCCGCCCTGCTCCATCCGCTCACCGTTAGCCTTTCCGCCAGAGCCGGCTCCCCACAACGCTACGCGACCCCCACCTAGGCGACGCGTCTCCTCCTCCTTTTCGGTCAAGGGACGGGCTCGAGCCACGCGCTGCGGCAACGGGTTATCCACCTCCATATTCCCCTTCCATCCTCTCCCCTCTCTTTCTCTCTCGTTCCCCTTGAGCCGGAGGAGCAGGAGGAGGCGCCGGCGGCTAGCGCGGTGATGCCGGAGGCAGGGAGGACGAGGGTGGAGGTGGGACGAAGAGGGAGAGAGAGGCGGTGCACTAGATCTGGCCACGACCCCGCAACTTCCGGCGATGGAGATGACTCGGTGACAACCCCGCGACAGCAACAGGCGGAGGGAGCGTCGCACCATCCTCCCCGCCCTCCTCCACCGGCGCCGTGCCCGCCACCGAGCCTCGAGACAGGAGAGAGAGGGTGAGAGGCGTCGAGCCGGCGGAGGCGTCGCGTGTCTCCTCCTTGGTGGCGAGTACGCGAGAGTAAATGAGAGGAAGAGAGAGCGAGGGAGAAGAGGGGTGGTATAGTAAAATACCTACATGGGCTTTTTTGGGTTAGAGACATTCGTTGGGCTACTAGGGGTATCCTCCTTTGAGGGAGTTTCCCAGAGAGTGTCCTCAGTTAGTAAGGATGAGTGTCCTTGATTGTACATACCCTAGAATTCAGCCAGCACTAGACACAAACACTATACACCCGAGATAGAAATCAGAGATAGGCAGGGCAACTACCATCGCTGCCAGAAACTCGCTACAACGAAAGAGAATCGCCAAGAACTATTAGACCCTAGAGCGCCTAAGAGCTAGTGAACTTGGTGACGGCCTTAGCACCCTCGGAGACGGCATGCTTGGCGAGCTCGCCGAGGAGGACGAGGCGGACAGAGGTCTGGATCTCCCTGGAGGTGATGGTGGGCTTCTTGTTGTACCGGGCGAGCTTGGCGGCCTCACCGACAAGCTTCTCAAACATGCCGTCGATCTCCTCGTGGTGGGTGACCACGTCACGTCGCTCGCCAGTCCTGCTACCACTTGTCGCTTGTCGCTCATCGATCCAAGATCATTGGCTCGCCTCACCACCTTCCAAATATGAGGGAGGAAGAGGGAGAGAGCTAGCAGAATTGGATGAAAAACGTTAATTATACAAAATTTCAGTGGCACTAAGTTGATATCGTAAATAGTAATGATATTTTTCTTAATTCGGCACAATATAATGATATTGATCATATTAACCCTAACGTTTACAGTGACTTATTATAAAGTTCTTTTAAATTGGACTATAAGTTTCGTAATTTACCACTCTGCCATTATTAGCTAACATAGCGCTTGAGTCAGCTCATTTTAACTAGGCAACATATCCTATACACACAGACCCTCACGTGTACACACGTGCACACCAACTAAAAAATGTCACCAAAAAATCTAGAAAAAATCATACACATACTTTCAATTGTATTACACCTAGGGTTAAAATCTTAACGTCAAATTCATTATATTTTAGCCGTAACAAAAAAAACAAAAAATCTGATTTTTTAGGAAAGTATGTTTAGTGTCCAATAAGAACTTTATGTTCCTTTTCCTTTTATCTTTAGAAAAGCTTCTTTCTTATCCAACAAGGATAGTATCTACCCATAAGTATAAATATGTACACCCGGGGTCATTGTAAATTATCTCCATGATCAATAAAAATTCGACACATCACCACCATTTTTACTTTTCTACCTTTTCGATGAGTTTATACTTGTCACGGCTGTTTGCATCGGTGGGACTAGGGCTTTGACACTCTGATCTTATCAATGTAAGTACCTATCTATCATATATCTTAGTTAATCTAGTTTGTAGTTCAATTTATTTGTATCGGCTAAGATTCATTTTAAGGTTTATGCCCGTATCGGCTAATTTGCTTTACCATATTAGATTAGCTAAGATATCTACCAACCTGAAAATCAGTCAAGGGCTTGATTGTCTAGATATTATGTTTCTTTTCATACTTTGCGCTACATCAACCCTAGTCGTGCTTAGAACTATAACCTCTAGCCTGCTTTTTGATTGCCAATATAGGTTTCATTGAGGTTTCAGACGATGAGTTATTTGGACGTTGCATCGGCTTATGAGTTAGCCGATTGCAACAAAAGGTTTGATTGTTTATCCAATCATTTGGATTTAATGACATCGGATCTCCAGCCGAAGTATGCTTTAAACTTCAGATCAGTGCTTATTCTATTATATCATTTTTAGCCGATTAGTTTCTACTGGATTATATCATTGTTCTATTACATTATTATTAGTCGATTGTCTTTATTTATACCCAGTGTCAGATTCTACATCAACCATATAGCCGATAGCTCAAAATCTTATTGCTATTGGTTAGTACTGGCATGGGCTGAAATTACTCCATTAGCTTGTCAGTCGATCGACTAATTAATTTGCTATTTGTATATATCTTGTCAGTTGCATGATCAAACTGACTGGCACGTCCGCATCTTATCAACCTTTGGACCTGCACTAGAGTTAAGTGGATCTCCCAGGTCGTTGTGTTCGTCGACTTAGTTCGTGCCAACACAGTTCCATCGCCATCGGCCGAGCGCAAATTTTTCGTCAACACTTGTATTATCATAATATACAATTTTTTGTTCTAACTATTTATATCATATTTGTATGAGCAAATCATATGGGTAGGTGTTAAAGAATACTTTCTCCAAGCACAACCCTCTTTATATTCCTTTACAACCCCTTCTGTTGGTTTGCTTCGAAAACTGTATGAAACGAGCACTTGATTTGCCCCAAGTTGGGCGCCACAAAACTCAAATATGGCAAATGTACAAAATCAAATACAAACGCAGTACACATCAAATCAATCGTACATTGGGGATTTAGGGTTGTTAGTGCATCATCTGGCCGTCGGGCGTCGGATCGATAGGAAGGCCATCGGCACGGTCACTCGATTTTTCCTTGGCTTTGACTGGATTCTTTATGACGAAATTGACGTATTGGTAGCCTCCACTGGTAGGGCCGGCCGCCGCTGCGTCGGCCTTGTTTGTTGGGGATTCCTTTGCCGCGGCGGATGCCTCGGCCTTACCTGCCGCGGATTTCTCAGCCATGGCGGGTGCATCGCCTTTGCCGGCTGTAGATTCCTTGACCGCGGCCGTCGTGTCGGTCTTGCCGGGCGCTGTAGATTCTTTTGCCGCGGTTTCTGTGTCGGTCTTGCCGGATACCGTGGATTCCTTTGCTGCGGTCTCCGTGCCGGTCTTGTTAGCAGTGGATTTCTTTGTTGCGGCCTCCATGCTGGTCTTGTGGGATGCGGGGGATTCCTTTGCCGCAACCTTCTTGCCGGTCTTGCCAGCTGTGGATTTCTTTGTCACCGTAGCCGTGTCGGCCTTGGCAACGACAGATTCCTTACCCGTCTTATCGGCTGGAGATTTCTTAGCCACCGTGGCTGCGTCAGCCTTGGTAACGGCGTATTCCTTACCCGTGGCAGGTGTGCCAGCCTTACCGGCTAGGGATTTCTTAGCCACCGTGGCCGCGTCGGCCTCAGTGTTGGTCTTGCCGGACATCGTGAATTCCTTTGCCGCAGCCTTCTTGCCGGTCTTGCCGGCGGTGGATTCCTTAGCCACCGTGGCCGCGTCGACCTTGGCAATGGATTCCTTACCCGTGGCAGGCATGTCAGCCTTGGCAGCTGGTGATTTCTTAGTCACCGTGATCGCGTCGGCCTTGGCAGCGGCGTATTCCTTACCTGTGGCAGTGGCAGACGTGTCTGCCTTACCAGCTGGAGATTTCTTAGCCACCGTGGCCGCGTTGGCCTTGCCAGCGGCAGATTCCTTACTCGTGGTAGGCGTGTCAGCCTTGGCGGCTGGGGATTTCTTAGTCACCGTGACCGCGTCGGCCTTTGCAGCGGCGTATTCCTTATATGTGGCAGACGTGTCTGCCTTACCAGCTGGAGATTTCTTAGCCACCGTGACCACGTCGGTCTTGCCAGCGACGGATTCTTTACCCGTGGTAGGCGTGTCAGCCTTACTGGCTGGAGATTTCTTAGCCACCGCCGACGCGTCGGCCGGGTAATCCTTCACTGCCAGGGCGAGCGGCGGCCGTGCTACCACGGCGAGGGCGACCAGCAGCAGCGACGCAACGGCGAGGCCACGAGCCATCGTTGTTGTCCGTTGGTCCTGCGCCTAAAAGATCCGTGGCGAGAGAGGCACGATGCGTGGATTGTGATCAATCGTTTGCTACGGATCCGGCATAAATAACAGTCCGGCGATATGCGCGGAGAAATTGGCGGCCGCGCGCGCGGCGCGGCGCGGCTATTCTTGGCGGTTGCGCTCGCTTCGGTGTTTTTGCATGATGCATGCGACGTTGGTGGTAGTGGTAGGAGGGAGTAGGTAACGTACGTACGTAAAACGCGACTACGCGAGAGCCGCGAGGTGGTGGCGGCGCAGCCACCCGCGCGCGCTGCACGGCCGGTTCGACCGACCGACCGACGTGTGCGCGTGGGGAATTTTCTCGTGGGTGACGGATGATGGGCCAGGAAACGAGAGGAGCGCCCGGTGCCCGGTCCGGTCTCGGTCGCGTGCACGGTTGCAAAGCGATGCGTATCGTCCCGCGCCGAGGAAAGAGATTGTAATAAGGTGTTGGTTAAATCTGGGGGAGAGGAGGCCCGTCACGACTATGGATGGAGTCTGGAGTCTGGACCATTATTACACGGTGGTCCTGCCATTCCGTGCATAACTGGGTTAACTGCATGCAATACAACTAGGCTAGCCTTGGATTCGGGTGTGTTGTGTTGCTCTCCTTCTGAATTGGGCAGCGAATTCTCTTCGGATACTCTCTTTTAAAACGGAACAGCATTCTGCGGTAGTAAAATTTATCGCTAGTATAGTACAGGGAGATGTTTACAGAACAGTAGACATTTTCTCCCTCGTAGATCATCCAGTGGTCTCAAGAGCAATCACTGAAGGAGTGCAGAAATGGAGCTTTACACCCACCGACAACTCAAGCAGCAGGTAGTACGTTCCTAGAGCGGCAAGTGCCATTTAGTAATTCCGATTTATTTAATCATGCGACACCCGTTCGGCTTTTTCACGCCTTTGTTTCTTGGCCTCTGCAGCTACAGAACGCTCTAGCCAGCCCTGCATCAGGCTCAGCTCAACAAACCCATTTTAAATATCGGACAAAATTAGGTGAGCGCCACCAACACAGCAGCATTCCAGTTCCCATAGGAGTATTTGCGTGAGTGCGTGACAAGTATAATCCCTACATTATGTAGTAATTCAGTAGTAGTAGCTGTGAAAATGTACATGAACATTTGGGATATTTGAGTTTCCCAAATTCTGATCAAACTGTTCGAATATCCATGCCACATCAATATTTGATTTTTCTTTTTCATGCTAACAACATCAATGGAGCAGTAAGAAAGAACAAAGAAGAAAAACAAACAAATTTTTATGCAGTTTCCATCCAAGAAAAAAAAACACAAGTCTCACACGCACACGCCACTAGAACACGCACTGACACCGCCCACCGACACTCCGCGCGCCGCCGCCACCCTCTCCTGCAGATCCACCTCGAAATGTGAGCGCCGCTAAGCCAAGGCGGCGGCCACGGCGACGGCGACGGGCAGGGCGGCGAGCCACCGCAGGCACGAGGCGCCGGCGGCGGCGTCGTTCTTCTTGGAGCTCTTCCTCTGGTCGGCGGGCGGCGCGTCGTCGCCGGCCGGCCCGGGCGCGTCCGCCACGTGCCGGTGGGACGCCTTCTTGGACTTGGAGGCCTTGGGCGCGTCGGCGACCGGGGCGGGCGCCGGCGCCGGGGACTCGGCGGGCTCGAAGAGCTCCACCGGCTCGAGCACCGTGTCCACCGCGTAGATGGCGATGGGGTCCTTGTCGTACACCGTGTCCTTGATCCGCGCGACGCCGTCGGAGGCGTCCGTCTTGATGGTCACCTTGTCGCCCTCGTTCTGCACCGTGAAGTTGAAGTTCTTGGCGGAGCCGTCGGTGGCGAGGGTGTTCATGACGCCGTTGTTGGACTTGAGGCTCCGCAGCGAGTAGTAGACCGGGACGGCGTGGAAGAGCAGCAGCGACGCCTTGCCGTCGGCGGTGAGGTTCTTGTACGTGGGCATGAACGCCCTCATGGCGTCGTCGGTGGGGCAGAACGCCGTCACGCCGCCGTCGGCGGCCGACTGGAACGTGGACAGCGCGTCGGGCGAGGCCGCCACCAGCGCCGCGAACGCCTTGCAGCCGCCCTTCGCCATCGACGCCGTGATGTTCGGCGGGGCTGGCGGGGGCGCCGCGGGCGCCTTCGCCTTCGCCGGCGCCGCCGCCGCCTTGCCGTCGGCGGCGGAGACGGCGAGGGGGAAGAGGACGACGAGGAGGAGCGCGGCGGCGAGGCGGAGGTGGCGCATTGTGCCTAGCGTGTGGGATGTGTCTGCGTGGGAGTGAGGGAAGTGGGAGCCGTGTAGTGATGACTGATGATGAGTGTAAAACAGAGTGGGAGGTGAGCTGGCTTTGTAATGGAGGTACCCTTGGGGTTAACCCGGAATATCGTGGATTGCCCTTCCATTTTCCCCCCTTTGCTTCTATTATAGATTCTGTCATGTAAAAAAATTGTGATTTGGTCATTCCTTGTTCTTTTGTTATATTTTAATTCAGGTCTTCGTGTCATTTTCTTATTCTCTTTTTTCCGACAGATTGATGTCCTCTTGTTATATTGTAATTGCTCTTTTTTTTATTAGTTGATGGTGTTTGGGAATGATATTGAGAGTGGAGAGGGTCAGTGTGGTGATGTTCTTCGGTCTTTTGTGTTTTTTAAATGGAGGAGGTTGTCCCATGAGTTTTAAACTTATAAGGATCATTTTAAATCGTAAACAGAGAAATAAAAAAAATAAAGGATTTTGACATAAATGTAAGTGCAAAATATTAGATTGCAAAACACATGAACGATCGTTTGATTGGACCGTAGGAAAAACAGATGAATTTATGAGAGATAAAGAGACTAAAGAAACTTTCCATGAGGTTCTATTTCATATTAAATTTTCTCCAAAACTTGTATAAAATGTGGTATTCCATAGGATTTCATATGATGTATTCCTTTTATTCAAAAGGCTATATATGAAAAAAAATCATATATGAACGAAAATTCCAAAATTTCTATGATTTTTTCTTTAAATCGGAAAGGGCATAAATGTTTTTTTTTCCCACTTTTATGACATCCTATCCTATTCCTAGCGCAATTACTGTGATATAAACAGCTTATTATATTGGGTTTAAAAAAGTTTGCGCAAAGACCCCTCCACTTGAACCTTGAACCAATGATCAAATACCATTCCCCATTTCGGTATCTCCTAACAGTTGACTTGGACGAATATTGGGGTAGAAATTATACATTGCAAACTTACCCTCGCTTTAATTAGAGCGGGTACTATTTAAAGCTATTTTCAGCAACAACTTTGGCTCATAGAGCTTCTTTGGTTTAAAGTTAAGTTTTGCAGTACCAAAATTTTAATAGTGTCAAAAATGTTTGGAACTACCTATAGTACAGAATTTGGACCAGTGTGGATAAATTTGGTAAAAAAAAAAAAGGCATTCGTCTGCTACTATAGAAGTTGTCGAAATTTTGATAGAGCAAAAAAAATGACTCCAAACCACCACGAACATCCCAAGTGATCACTTAATCTTGGGTCGTGTTCTTTTAAAAATGTTGGAAACTCTTTTCTCCTAGATATAAAACCATGTGGAGAATTAGCATATGATTAATTAGGTATTAGTTAAAAAATAAAAATTGATTAATATTTTTTGAAAAGCAATTTTTATAAGAAAAATACTTAAAAAAATTAATTGTATCGTTTAACCATGCGAAAAACGTGCACACGAAAAACAATAACGAAAAGTTAGGAAAAGAAACAAAAGAACACACTCTTGACTTGTTAATCATCGCAATTAAACAACATAAAATTAGCGCTAGCTTGCCAACGAGTAAGGCAAAGAATCAATGGCCGACACTGGAATGGATTGTGGACGAAGAACCGGAGGTCCCCTGCACGGCAACTTGCAGGACGTAATGAATAGTGAGTCTAATTATGCTACGGATCGCCAACGTTTGTACCTATTCGCCCACATAATTGACGTGGGGACAATGGGCAAAACACACACCACCTAGCTAGTGCCCGAAGACACGCATTCACGACAATTGTACATTGCCTCGTCAGCTCCCCTGCTATTTTGTTTCTTAATTATATAGTAAGTACTATAGTTCCTCCCTTTTTTCTTTTGAACATATATGCAGTTGTAGAAATATTGTAATGCAACGTCGTTGTCCAGTCTGCCAGCTTCCATGGCCGTTGTGTTTAGCAGCAGCAGTAATAGCACGTTGCCGTTGCTCGCGACCCGTCCACGCGACGAGAAGCGTGGGTTGTGAAGCGAAATTCTTTTCAGGACGGCGACGGGTGTGGTGCGGCCACCGACAGCGGATGGAAGGGGCAGGGCATCCGGCCGAGACGCCGCGTTGGATTTCATCACGCGATGCGGGCGCGCGCGGGCTGAAGGAGACAAACTGCCCCCCGCTTGTGACAAACGCGTAGGTGCTCGCCGTGCAGATGCAACGCGCGGCCCCGGGCGTACCATGGATGGACTGTGGTGCCGAAGCGATCGGTGGAGGAGTCGCCGTCTAGCAAGGAACCGGGCGCGGTGACCGGTGACGCCTGTCTGCCTGTGAGATTAAAGCTTGGGCTTCGAGTAAAACTAGACCGGGATTACTGGGGCTGGGAGGTAAGTACTCCTTCCATACTCATAGTTTAGAGCAATATTTAAGTTAAATCTTGGGAATATAAATGATGAATAACTCTTAAGTTCTTTAGTTTGAAAATATAAAAATTATATAAATAGATTTATCTTGAAAAATACTTTCATAAAAGTATACATATATCACTTTTCAATAATTTTTTTATAGAAAAAAGAAGTCAAAGTTGTGTTTTGGAGACCGTGTCGCTGTCCTAAACGACTTCCTTTACGAGTACGGAAGGAGTACGCACTAACTTAATCAACCGTAGCTAATTTATAATGGGATTGCTTAAATCACATTTGACAAAAAAAATGTTCTTTTTTCTTTCAGATTTCTACCCTTACGACTTGCTTTATGATCCGTGCTCTGACAACCCCAGTTCCTTCTTCTCCATCTGCGACGACCCTTTCCTTTCTAGTTTCGGTGACTATGAAGAACCTAATGGAATAGGGTTTAGATTCCCAGATTGGGGGATGGTCGTGAGAGACGGTCCGGCTGTGTGAATTGGATATGGGCAAGCGACGAGGCACTGACAGTGGTTGACAGTGGTGTTTGAGCCGCGCGGATGGTAAATCTTATGTGTAGAAATTTATACTGATCCAATAAGACAAACTGTCCTAGAAAGTTAATAATGGTAAATATTATATGTAGAGATTTTTAGTATAGAAACTTTCTATATAAAAGTATTTGAATCCGAATTCGAATCAAAATCGAAACTGGATTCAGGATTGGACAAACTTTTGGTGTATAAGCTTACGGGAAAAGAAAACCGTGTGGTAAGGAAAAAAAAAGGAAAGCACAAGCGTTCGTGCCTTATCTCTTTCGGACTAATCAGCCCTTAACCCAATAAAAATTTGTCTTGGGTTGTTTGTCCCTTTTCTTCTCAACATCACTCGCTCCCCATCTTTGCCCTCTTTCTCTTCATTTTTCTCTCCAAAATCATTGTTAAGAGCATCACCAAGAAATTACGTATAATCTCTCTCCAAAAATTTATTTTCGGGTTTCCTAAACTGAAAATAAGTAGTCGAAAAACATATATTTCCAAGAGAAATCCTAAATTTTATCTCCAAAACTAAAAGTGGTCCCTTTTGTTAAACTAACACCAGCTTATTTCTGTTTTCCTCCCTCTTGCGTGCGCTCCTGGCGTTCCCCCCAATGTGTGTCGCGCTCTCCCTTGAGAAAAATTTGGCGCTAATGAGAGATTGGGGATGACAGACACGCCGTTTCTCTCTCTCTCTCTCTCTCTCTCTCTCAAATGAAGAGAGCGAAGGATGCGGGGAAGGGGTTTCCAAAACATTAGGATCCAGATAGGAGATCTGTTGGAGGCATTTTTTTTTTACCAAAATCCCAAAAAGTTAGGATGGGGGATGGAATAAGGGGACTGTTGGTGATGCTCTAGGGGCTTACTTGAAAGCCCTATAGAGGCAATATTAGTATAAATTATAGGCATGTAAACTTTTTCATCCCGAGCTCAAATTGATAAAAGAATTTAACTTATCCTATCATAAAAAAGGTGTGACCGTCCACAATTATTCTTGAAAGAAGTTGGGTTTAGACCCTCAAGTGCTTTGCAAATGCCTACGCTCCCTCTCCCCATGCCTTTTTATCACCGATATCACCTATTTCGCTCTTGTCCTTACCTTCTTGCCTTCTGCTCTATGCTCTTTACTGATATGCACCTCCACCACCAGGATTTGCAATCATCGCGACCATCGTCTCCACGGCCTCAATCCATGCCGGAGTTGCCGTCTACAGCTCTATTGCTATGATCCACATCGGAACTGCTACATTTCCACATTGAGACCGCTATAGTTATACATCAAAACTGTCTATACCATCTATACTCCTTTAAAAGAAGACAATGGTGATGGCAATAGTCACCACCAACTCTCCATGAACTTCTAATATATAATTTTACCAACTAATCCATGTGCTCTTTTTTTTTTACAAAATTGTCCTATATCTTGTTTAATATCTTATTTCATTTCTATAACATAAGTTTATCATGAAAAAACATTTATAGGGTTGAAAATGTTTAAAAAATCCTCGCAATTAACCTGTTGCAAACAATATTAGGACATACCCCCTCTATTTTTTTAATAGATGACGTGTTGACTTTTAAACACATGTTTAACCATTCATTTTATTCAAATATTTTATGTAAATGTATGAGATATAAATCATGCTTAAACAGTACTTTGAAATGTTACCAGTACCCAAAATTCCCACCGCTATCACTACAAGAGGCAATAGCAAGCCCGTGCCTACAAAAGTTCTTTGTTTTAGGGAATCCAAAAATTCAAAAAAACCTAATGAAATTTTGGGTATCAACTAGGAATCGTGCCTGCAAACAGCCAAATGAGGTAAAACACTGTTACACTAGCCAACGGAGATGTTGCAAATGAGGTAAAACACTACCCAATCGAGATGTTGTTGATAGTGTAGTAGCAAAAGGTATGGTTTCAATTCCGAGATCATATGTTCAATCCCAACACGTTTATAATTTTATCTTAAAAAATATTTGGAGGGACGATCTCCCTTTTTTTTAACAGTACCCAGTGTTCGCAAGTGCAGGATGGGAACCCATCCCTCCTGCACGCAAAACGGAGCGGCCTTTTAACACATGATTAATTAAGTATTAGCTATTTCTTTTAAAAAAATGAATTAATTTGATTTTTAAGCAACTTTCATATATAATCTATTATATACTAAAAGTCCATTAAGTGTCCTGTAAACGCTCCTAAGCCGCCAAGTGGCGCTCTAATAAATTAGATAAATTCTTAGAAATTCTAAGAAAAAAGCAAAACATCTAGTCCTTGGATTTCACTTAAACCGGTGGACCCGTTATTTTACACCATTAGATTAGATTTGTGAGAAAAAAAAGTTAATCAATCTGTGATCCTCCTTGCCTTCTAATCGCTTTAGATCTATAAAAAAGTAACACACTCCACGATTCTTACGCGCGATGGGGCATGAGTTAATCACAAACCAACGCACTCCTCCAGGCAGCAGGGTTCTGCACGCACCATGAAACGTTGACTAGCAGGTACGTCAATCTCTTTCACCGGCGATCGGCCTGCCCAGCTGCCCTAGATGATCGGCGACAAGGGTAGCCATAACCATGAGTCCGTTGATGTCGACCAGACTCTCACGTCCCACAGCTTCTACCACTCCGGCACTATTTTATTAATTAAGATTTGATCCAAACTGAAATTTGCAAACTATTGTTGCTGTTTTTTTCAAAGAAAATTTCCGTTCCAACTTCCAAGTTTTGTTTCTTTTCATGTTTCTGATATGAAACGACATCATGAACTTCTAAATTGTGTCTTTCCATGTTAATGATATGAAACGATCGACATCGTGGTCATTCAGTAACCTAACAAATTTGCACTACTGTATATAAGTAATAAATTGTGACACTTTCTATTATTTCTAATTTTGAAGTTTGCATCTATTTAAGTGGCACCAAATCATAATAACTTACTAATGGTTAATTTTAAAATAAGTTCTAAAGTTAAAAAATATTACTATTGAGAGTTACAGATGAGTACAATTTTATTTTTATATGTTGTACTCCCCAAACGATAAAATCATGAAAAATTGAAATTGTAACTCCAAGTAGAGCACATACTTTTTGAATTGTAAATTTATGAATTATTTTATCATTAGAAAAAAATCTAAAAATTATAACTCCATGCTAAGATGACTCCAGATGCATTAACTGTTCAGGTCATAACTCTACATATACAACTTGATATTTACTACTCCCACCATCCTTCCTCCATGCCAGTTTGATCTCTTCCAAGTTTTTTATATCTCCCTTAAAATAATCATCATATAACAAATGACTTTTCGTTTATTTGTGTAAAGAGTAAATGGGCATAGTTGAATAAGTCATGCATGCAACTAGCCAAAAGTAATTTCTATTGGTGTAAGCCTAAAAAAATTCTCTTGGTGTAACTCCACGAAATATTTACAACGTGATGCAATTAACACCTTGATTGATGAAAATAATTTTAGAACCATGGAGGTTTTGTTGTTTTTGGTCTCAGCATCCTTTGCTTAGGTGATGATCAAATTGGAATAGAGGGAGTAATTTCTAAGTCAGAAATATGCTCTGTCTTATTTGTAAGAGACAAATTGCATCAATGTAAACTAGGCTAGGTTGATGCCAAATAAAACACAAGTGTTAGTAGAAAATAAACAGATTTGATAAAAAAAGTTAGCCCCTAAACATTTATTTTTTTTCAAAAAAACCTTATTTTTAATTTATATTTAATTTAGTAGATATGTTTTCTAAATAGACTAAGTCTACATTATCTTAAATGATGAAGAAGACTATAGATATCTGCTTATAGGGATGAATTAAATATTATACAGTATAAATCTATCAAATAGATTAAACAATTATTTAAGCAATGCAATCTACTATGCACCCCCGCGCAAATGCGCGGGCTACCATCCTATTTTTTTTTAAAAAAAACACCGTTTAGTGGTTTGAAAAACGTGCACGCGGAAAAAAAAGAGAGAGGGGTTGGGAACACAAATACAGCCATATTCAGAGACACAACTGTGTATTAGTACATCGTTGTTCAAATTACAAACGGCCAAACGATCAACCGAGACCCAAGGTGCCTAATTTTTTCTAAGGAGAAATTAAGCAGCAAGCGGCCTAATTAAATCGCCGAACTCCTCAAGAATCACCGACCCTCCAAACTCCTCCCTAATATATAAGCCACCGAAACACCAACGCCATCTAAAGCGAGAGCGCGGCGGCGGCGGCGGCCACCACGGCCGCCGTGACGCCGGAGCTCATGCCCGCGCTGCCCGCCTCGTCGGCTGTGCCGGGGCCAGGCGAGTCTGCTGCCGGCGAGTCTGCTTCCGGCTCCGGCGGGCCGTCCGCCGCGGGGCCGGATGCTTCCTCTGCGGTCGGGGCCTCGGCGGCCGTCTCGTCCTCCATGTCGCCGCTGTCCGGCGACGACGCCTCCTCCTCCTCGGAAGAGCTCGACGAGGAGTCCTTGGGGGCGCTTGCCGGGGACTTCCCGGACTCCTCGCCGGCCTCCGGCGACTCCGCGCCGGACTCGGCGTCGGGCGCCTCGCTGGGCGCCTCTGACTTCCCGGAGGGGGCCTTGGCGGCGGCGGCCTTGGGCGGCGCCGCCGCGGGAGCCTTGCCGGACTTCTCGGGAGACTTGCTGGGACTGGGAGCCTTCGACGGCGAGGTATGTGAGCCGGAGGAGGAGTTGGAGGACGACGACGACTTCGGCGCGGCCGCCGGGGCCTGCGCCTCCGCGGCGAGCGCCACGGCGGCGCACGCGGCGAGGAGGACGGCGACGAGGGCGAGATCAGCGCGGGCCATGGTGCGTCGATCGACCGAGCACCTCGTCCGGCTATGGGCCCTGGGTTTCCCGTGTTGAGGTTTCGCCATGGCGCGCGCCGGAGCTATATAGGTGGCCGGCGGCGAGACAAGCACGGAGGAGACGGTGGCTATTCTTGGTGGCGCCTCGCGCCATGGGTGTCTCTTGCCATTGCGGGGATAGTGATGACGTCGCGGCGTCGCGCGCGCGCGCGCGCGCGCCAAGCGGCATCGAGCGTAGGGGCGCGCGTATTTTGGGCCGTTTGATTGCGGCCGTTGGATCTGCATCCTGCGACGCTTGTGTGGCTTGGATGTGAATGTGTTCTTGGCACAGTTGAACTAAGCTTGACTTTTCAAAAGCTGAGTTTATAGAGTCCTCAATGCTTCTGAGTTTATCTTCCTTGTATCTGAAAAAAAAGGCAAAATCCAAACTTTTAAATGTTAATAATGTCCCTAAACCATTTGCCAGAACTTTAAAATTATGGAGGGAACACGTGCTACGGCACTGTTAAAAAACTTGTAATAGAAGGTTGATTGCTAAATTTCAGTAATCACCAAGCTTCACCGCAACACAAATTTTGATAATTTAACACTTTGAAAAAACTAATTTTACAAATGAATCGTTGCCAAAACTTATTTCAAAAATGACCCTTTTATTCAGCGCCAAATCGTGTGACGCTGAACTTAGACACTCAACGCCAAATAGCACGGGCGCCGAATGTCCGTTGACACGCTGACTCAGCCTTCCATCCGCGGTGGCACGGTATTCAGCGCCAGTTGACGTGACGCTGAGGTGTCTAAATTCAGCGTCACACGATTTGGCGCTGAACAAAAGGGTTACTTTTGAAATAAATTTTGGCGACGGTTTATTTGTAAATTTAGTTTTTTCAAAGGGTCAAATTGTTAAAATTTGTGTCACCACAAGGCATACAAGTTTTTGAAGTCGAGGCTTTGGTGCAGGGAACTCAACCTTCATTGGTTGCTCGGGCAGATGGCTCTAAAACTATATAGTCAGATAAATTTCATTAGTATTCTGATAAGCAAATGTTGTCATGCTCTAGATGATTTTCAGCGTACAAATTAACCGGATCAACAGTACCGCACACAGATGGCAAAGCCAAAGAACAGGGCTGCCACACGGTAATAATGATGCTCGCCCCTGAATTTGAGTTGCTATGATGATATATTGTCTAATCTTATAAGTGTTTGTTCAATTAATCCCCAGTTGGAAATGATTAGAGGGGATTGAGGTCAAGGTGTGAAAACCCCTTTAATCCTCTTAGAGGAGGGATTAACCGAACAAAACGTAAATGATTCTATGACATGAGTTAGAATAAGAATATTAAGAAATTAGTTAAACCGTTATATAGTTGAGTATGGTAGGATATTTTCCCTCCGTACTGTCAATCGACTTACCATGATAAATTTAGACAGCCAAGCTTTTCCATCAACCCAGAAAAACAGCTGAAGATCTAAGAGTCCAATTCAAACAAAAGCTGGAGCTCAGCCAAACAATTTCAGCTCCACTAAAACTGGGAGTGAAGTTGGGTGGAGCTCTCTCACAAAATGTACTAGAGTTCTGGAGCTGGGTTTAGGCAGCTCCACAACTCCACTCCAGACTCAACTCCTGGAGTTAAATTTAGAAGTTGGAGCTATACCAAACATGTCCGAAATTCATACTGACTTGCCAGTGCCAAAAAAAGATGCAGAGGTTGAATAAACCTGACTCCATGATTAAACCAAGCATATATTCCATCCGTTTCATAATGTAAGTCATTCTAGCATTTCCCACGTTCATATTGATGTCAATGAATCTAGACATATATATTTATCTAGATTCATTAGCATCCATATGAACGTGGAAAATGCTAGAATGACTTACATTGTGAAACGGAGGGAGTATTTTTTTTCTGAGAGTATGGCACCCTAGCATGATTAGCATCCAATACCGTGTTCTTCACTTTCTATGCTTGTTTAGGCTGTGTTTAGTTCCTTCCAAAGTTGGAAGTTTGGGTTGAAATTGGTACGATGTGACTGAAAAGTTGTGTGTGTATGACAGGTTGATGTGATGAAAAAAAATTGAAAGTTTGGATCCAAATTTTGAATCTACACACAGCCTTACTGTAGTTTTCAGCTTCTGAATGTGCTTCCTCCAGCTTATTCAATCTTGTTCTGAACAAATGATCTCTCTTCAGAAACTTGTGCTGTAGTTTGAAGCCGGATGTATTTTCCATTTATTGCAGCTTAATTTTCACCACACAGTTCGTCGATTTTTTTTCAGCAATCTTTCAGCATGGTCTCTTGCCTACCTTAAGGGCATGTTTAGTTCTCAAACAAAATTTTCTAGCTGTTACATCAAATATTTGGACATATACATAAAGTATTAAATGTAGAAAAAACCAAGAGCAATTACATAGTTCACCAGAAAATTATGAGACGAATCTTTTAAGCCTAATTGCACCATGATTTGATAATGTTGTGCTACAGTAAACATTTGCTAATGACAGATTAATTAGGCTTAATAAATTCGTCTCGCAGTTTCCTGGTGGAATATGTAATTTGTTTTGTTATTCTACTACGTTTAATATTTCAAATGTGTGTCCGTATATCCGATGTGATATGTAGGGGCAAAATTTTTTGCCAACTAAAAAGGCCCTAAGTCATATCTTCCTTCAGATAAATTTTCAAAAGAAAACAAAATATTCCTGGTTCAATTGTTCAAACCATTGTTTTAAAAGAAGAAGAAGAAGAAGAAGAAGAAGAAATCCTGGGCTAAGATGGGCCGGCCCACGAAATGAAATCGTGCTCAGATTTCTGACACGGACCAGCTATTGACCTACCTCACTGACATATGGGTCCCACAGCACCGTATTGCGGGGCCCAGGTGCGTCCTCCCGAATCCTGATCCAAATCCCCCAAATCGGACTCGAATTCGCAGTTTTGTCCACCTCCCCGCCTCCACCCCCCGCCGCAAACCCTAGCTCGGGAAAAAACCCTAACCCTAGAGGCCTCGCCGACCACCCAGCCATGGAGCCCGACGGCGACGCCGCGTTCCACCGTAACGAGGCCATCTCCGCCGTCCAGGACGTGGACCAGTACTACGGCGACGACGACGACTTCGACGACCTCTACAACGACGTCAACGTCGGCGACGGCTTCCTCCACAACTCCTCCTCCTCCCAGCCCCCGCCTTCCCAGCAACTCCCTCCGCCGTCGCTGCCGCCGCCGCTGCCACAGAAGCAGCCACCGTCCCAGCAGCTCCCTCCGCCTCCCCAGCAGCAGCAGCCACCGCCCCAGCACTCGCTGCCCCCGCCGCCGCCGCTCCCGCAGGCGCCGCCTCCGCAGCAGCAGAAGGTGCACATCCCTGGCGTGGCCGCCCCGGCTCCGAATCACCCTCCATCTCAGCCCAATCTCCCGCCGCCGGCCGCCCCGGCGCCGCTGCCGCCTCAGCAACACCAGATCCAGCAAGGCGGTGGCGACGGATTCCACCGCCCGGGAGGCAATTATGGCGGTGGTCCCATCGTGGTCGGGAACGGCGGGCCAGCTGTTGTTGGGGGTGATGGTCCTGGCGGCACGACGCTGTTCGTCGGGGAGCTCCACTGGTGGACGACCGACGCCGATCTTGAGGCGGAGCTCATCAAGTATGGGCCGGTGAAGGAAGTGAGATTCTTTGATGAGAAGGCGAGTGGCAAGTCCAAGGGTTACTGCCAGGTTGACTTCTATGATCCTGCTGTTGCCACTGCCTGCAAGGAGGCAATGAACGGCCACCTGTTCAATGGTCGTCCGTGCGTTGTGGCCTTTGCCTCGCCGAATTCCGTCCGTCGAATGGGCGAGGCGCAGGTTAAGAACCAGCAATCCATGTCTGCACAGACATCGTCTATGCAGCCCAAGGGTGGGAGAGGCGGCGGCGGTGCTGGAAGCCCTCAGGTTGGTGGTAATTATGGTGGTGGCCGCGGAGGTGGACCTGGTGGTGGTGCAGGCGGAGGTGGCGGAAATTGGGGGAGAGGTGGTGGAGGGATGGGGAGAGGACCTGCTGGGAATATGAGGAATCGGATGGGAGGACCAGCAGGCGGCCGAGGGATCATGGGAAATGGTGGAATGGTTGCACCACCACCTCCAATGCTGCCTCCAGGCGGAATGATGGGGCAGGCTTTTGATCCTACTGGTTATGGTGCAATGGGAAGGATGGGTGCTGGGTTTGGTGGATTCCCTGGTGCACCAGGGGCAGGGCCATTCCCTGGGTTGATGCAGCCATTCCCACCTGTGGTTGCACCACATGTTAATCCTGCTTTCTTTGGAAGGGGTGGGATGGGTGCTGGCGGAGTTGGTATGTGGCCTGACCCCAACATGGGGGGATGGGGTGGGGAGGAACAATCAAGTTATGGGGATGATGCAGCGTCTGATCAGCAGTATGGGGAAGGGGGAAGCCATGGTAAGGAGAGGGCCGAGAGGCCACCTGATAGGGAGTGGTCTGGTGCATCGGAGAGGAGGCGGGAGAGGGAGAAGGATATACCCCCAGCACAGGAGTGGCCAGATAGGAAGCACCGGGATGAACGAGACATGGGCCGAGAGAGAGATCGTGACTATGACAGAGAGAGGGAGAGAGATCGTGATAGGGAGAGAGAAAGAGACCGTGACAGGGAGAGGGACAGAGAGAGGGACAGGGAAAGGGAGAGGGATAGGCACAGGGATGACAGAGACCGCTATGGCGATTATCATCGGCACAGGGACCGTGATTCAGAGCGTAATGAAGATTGGGACAGAGGAAGATCATCTGGTGTGCGCAGCAGGTCTAGGGAGGTTGATCATTCTAAGCGTAGGCGGATGACGCCTGAGTAGCATAGCTCGATGCGCTACTTCTCATATAGAGGCAATACCAATCCAGGGCATCTTCTTCTTTTTGCTTACGAGCATGGACAATTACCAACTCTTTACTGCTTGTAGCTGTGGTGGTTCTTACTGCTTGTGTCTCCGGCGATCTGTTGTAGCATTATTTGAGATGTAAGTTAAGCTGATTCTGATCCCTTGCTTGTTTTCAATTGTAACTCTTCATATTTAATTGTACTTGCTAGGTAGTATGGTGGCATTCTATGGCATGTAACTCATCTTTTCTGTATTGATTTTAGTCATGTAACATATCCTGTACACTAGAATATTTTTTTCCTCTGGTTTATTCTTTTGGTAGCTACATGCAGCATGGCATTTTTTAAGCCAAGAACTGCATCATAGCACCATTGTCTATCACCATCGAATGTAACTTTGACTATTGTAGCAATTAGACCCCATTCTTGTAATCAGGTTCCCTCTGCCATCTTTTATGCAGGAAAGGTAGTTTGTAAAGGCTGTATACCAGTTCTTTGTAATGAACACCGTCTATCCTTTGTTAGTGGATGTAAGGGTGACAGTACTTTATTTATCTGTTCACTCGTTCACTCATGGAGTGGATGTTATGAGAAATTAATGATTTCATTCAATTCCATGATATAGAAACCAATACTAGCTTGCTTACATTGTGGCAATCTGTATTTATTCTTGTTGGATCACTGTATTTTTCTTAATAGTATGCATACTAACATGCATAGGAATAGTTCATGCACCTTTAAGAACACACACTAGCATTCTGAAGTATCATTCATATAAATAGGATTGTGGGAATATGACAGACGGCCTAATTAAGATGTGTGTTACCACATAAATGGATTATAGGAGTGAACCCTAGGATAACATTTTCAGGAAGCTTGTTTGGCTGCATAAGAAAAACTTGGTGAATTTTCATCTTTATGCATCCTGAAAGTTTTGGTAACTTACTATATATTAGTTGGTGCAACTCCATAATTTTATTTCTGAAATCTTGTTCTGTTTTCTAAACAAGTGCAACTTATGTAAAAGAAATATTCCTTTACAAATCTTGATTAATTGACTTGGCTTATGAATAATTCAACTGAGAATCATAAAAAGTGTTATATTTTTTATAATCCACCGCTGGAGAATATCAGGTACACCCACAAGCCACAATGAAATTGGATAACGGTTCTTTTCTCCCTGTTCCATACATGCTTATCAATTGGTTAGGGTGATATACTTTTATCATTTAAATATCTGTTGATATCATATATATATATATATATATGATGTCTAATTTGTGCCTAATATGTGTAGTAAAAAATCTCATGCATTGCAACCCTGACATAGTGACATGTATGAGTATACACTAAAATTTATGGTTATAATTGTGAAAAATCTTGGCGAAGGGGACAATACCAGTTTTAGCTTGTCAATATATTATTTTTTGGTAGGGTTTGGAGAGTATTTGATTGAATGAGTTATTTTGCATTATGAACTCCTTTTTTGGCTACTTACGTGTGATGCAACATTATGCTCGCTGTCATAACTTTTTACATAAAATAACCTTCGTACATGATGCTTCGTTGCTACTACTTGTACTTTAAGACAAGCACTTCACTAATTACAACTGATACCACATTGATTGATTGTATCCTTGCATCGTTTTTTAATATGCATTTATCCTGTTTCATTTGCAGCTAAAAGCGGTTGGAGACTTTGGATCTGTTCTGCTACATGAAGATCGCCTAACCTGGATGATAGTTGTTTCTTGATGTATTTTGATGTGTCTGGGAGAGCATACAAACATAAGAATCTATAAATGTGTAAGATGCTTTGTAGTTTGGACCAATTTTTGGAAAACATTACTCTGAGGTGTACCGTTTTGGTAGTAGGATGTTTGACTGCTTTGTATTATTAAAATTCTTTGTCATCTCTGTCATTCTGTTGGTGACCAAAATGATTTTTTTGCATTCCTGTGAATCATATTCCCTTTTTATAGTTCATTTTTGTCACATTTCTGTTTATTATTTAGTAGCTAGCAGCTTGCTTGTTTAGTGTATATTAGTTTTCCTCGGTGGAACTTAGTTTGTGGAGTATCATATTACTGGAAGTTACAGGTTAATTGTCTTATGTACTTGTTATTTGTTAATGTATTCCTTGCAAAAGGAATGGCAGTTTCCTCTTCAAAAACGTTGTAGCTGCTTTCTGGAAATGATCCTCTCAGTTGCTGAGGGTGCAAATGGTCTATTAGGCCACTCCAAAGGGCGTTTCTTTCTTATTAAATTTTGGGGTATGGCGAGTAATCAATGAAATGAGAGGATGAAAATGAAATGGGTTTAATTTAGATGAAATCATGTCTACACTGTTTTCAATACAACCTGTATTGTGTATGAAACAACAAAAATAAAACAATGTATCATATGAGATATTTCAATTATAATTAGTATGTGGTACCCTTGAACATAAAAAGTAGGAATTGCCCTATATCTTCTGTGGACTGTAGTTTTATCACCTTTGCTGTGTGGATGTCTGCATCCGAAACATAGAACGTCAGGGTGGAATTTTTGCTCTCTTGGATGGTGGCGGTCAAGCAGTGGGTATGCCACTCGAGGCGTTGTGCGTCGCTCCAGTTTTTCATTGAAACATGATGCACTGCCGAGCTTATGGCGTACTGTATTTCGTACCATCTTTCGGGTAGACAATAGCTCGGTGATTGCTCAGTCGTACATGAGTATTTTTGTCTTTGGGGCACTCGAGTTCTAGAAATATCCGCTCCGGTGATCAGCAAGCTCCTCCATCATGGCAGCTTTTGTATCTTGATCTTTTCCTGGGTTGTGCCAGAACATGAACAATGTCGACTTGGAACATAGAAAGATGGGATGGCATGCCTGGGTTGCCTGATGAGGCTACGGAGCTTGGCTGCTGGTTGGTGAACCTCTGTACAAACCTGATCAATTGTGGTACTTCCTCCATTCTAAAATATAACAATTTTTATAGGACTATCCAGATTAATAATAGTACTAGCATACGTCCCATTCACTCAAAAGTTGTTATGTTTCGGGACGGAGGTAGTAATAGAAATGGAGGGCATAGTATGTAGATATATACTCTCTCCGTCCCAAAATATATCACACTGTTAACTTTTCGCATAACGTTTGATCATTCGTGTAATAAAAAAAATTATAAATATAATTTATTTATTCGTGTAATAAAAAAATATAAATACAATTTATTTGTTATGACTTATTTTATGATCAAATAAACTATAATCTTAACTTATATGTTTACATATTTATACTAAATTTTTAAATAAGATGAATAAAACAAATGACCAAACGTTATGTGAAAAATCAACGGCGCCATGCATTTTAAAACGGAGAGAGTAGTATAAAAAAGGATGGTAAATGGCTAGCGACATATTTTAGAGCCAAAATCATACGGATTACTGACCATGGGTTTTGTTTCATGATTCGTGCTCTAGTGACAATAGCTCCTGACGAAGACATTGGAGTTAGGGTTTAGGGTCGCAGGTTGGAGTGAGGTGGAGTAGGGCCAGAGGAGGGAGATCGCCAGGTTTAGAGGAATGACCATGGGAGATGGCACCCTGGTGATGGATGGTGGACATGGGCAGGTGACGAGGCACCAACAACGATGCCGAAGCCGTGGGGATGGAGAAGGGTGGTAGGTCGGTGTTGGCGGCAAGGTAAAGCAAGCTTGTGGTTAGGAGACGATGGCTGGTGGTGATGAAGCTGGCATTGAAGAGTTGTTAGAGATGGGGAAAATGGCAGGGGCTGGGGGCACTTCTTGCAGCCTATTTAGGGAAGAGAAGGTGGGGGTATAGATGAAGGGGGAGGAGATCGGCTAGGGGGCCTCACCGGCGTCGTTGATCCCTTTCAGCTAGCCGGCGTCGTTGATCCCTTTCAGCTAGCCGGCGAGGTTGGGCGGCAGTGGCGGAGGCAGTGCGGATCACGTGCTGGTGAGCGGAAGCGGCGCGATGACGTGTTGGGAGGTGGAAGAAGGAAAAGGGTTTTAGAGATTTGTTAAGTAATCGGACGATCTAAAATTCGTAAAATTGCTAAAGGGGTTTACTGTCAAATTGCTAAAGGCTCTTCTATCTTCTTCGATGACGGTGAGGCCGGGGTTGGTGGCAGGATGGCGAGACCGCAAGAGGGCCAGTGCACGGAGCGACAGCCCAGACGAGAATTGGAGCGGTTAGACCATGGTTTAGACATTACAGAAGGATAAGATCGTTTTCATCTCGTGAAAAATGAAGGTGCTGTACCCATAGTCCATAGACATCTCCATTACTTCAAGACCAGTGGGCATCTGAAAGATGGCACGTTTTCTGAACTGCCCTGCGCCTGCACCACTGCACTGCTCGGCCTTAACCACACGCACTATGCGTCGCGTCAGAGCAGAGCAGCAGCCAGCAGGACACACCTTCACCGCCTACCACATTGACTGTCGGCGCCTACAGTGCTCTTCGTTGGACGCCGTCCATTTGCCACCCCTGTACCGATGTACGTCCACTGTACCTCATCGATGTACTGGTACAACTGTTCATCGTCAGTGGAGAGTAGTATTGGCTGTGTATAGTTCCACGTTAAAATTAAAAGTTCGAATAATTTAAAACGATGTGATAAAAAATTAGAAGTTTGTTTGTGTAAGAAAGTTCGATGTAACGAAAAATTTAGAAATTTTAAGAAAAAAGTTAGAATCTAAATAGGACCATTGCCTCCGTCGTCCCCACACTCCTACCACTGCAGTACCCGTCAATGGGCACGAAGCAGACGGCGCCGAAGTTAGGCCGATCGATTAGTGCGAAATGCATAATCTAATTTCCTATCGAAGCAGAGAACCTGTCAGCAAACCACCGTCGAGTACCTGTCGAATCGCATTGGCATCATTATAAAAACGCCTAATCCCATCGGGAACCCGAGTTCACCGACCCCTGCTCCAACCAGAGCCCCACAGCTCAAACTCCATCCCACGGCCACGTCGCCGTCGCGTCGCGAACCACTCCCGCCGGCAACACGCACGCATAGTACATCAGTTTTTTAAATAGATGATATTGTTAACACGTTTAATTATATATTTTATTTTCAAAATTATGTAATTATAATTTATTTTTGTTATGAGGTTTTTATATCACTTAAAGTATTAAATGTGTTATATCTTATACTTTTAAATAATACGAATGGTTAAATATATGTTTAAAGTTAACAGAATCCTCTATTAAAAACGGAGGGATTACTACTACCCGTCGCGTCACCGTCTCGTTCATAGTTAAAACCTTATATAATTATTATGCGGAGCGTGCGTGTGGTACCGACAGCGCGCACGACACGCCACGCTTCACGGCGCCTCGGCTCGGCGCGACACGGCTCGTTCGCTGGTGTGGTCGCATGTACTACTACTACTTGCAATAGCACCCCCCGCGCGCCTCGTCGCGGCGGCAACCCTCCGATTTTGACCCCGACGCGCACGCGGCCCCGTCGCGGTCGCCGCTGGGACTGGGACGGGAGGGGTCACGGGCGCGCGCCCGCAGGTGGGGGTCGGGGGCCTCCACCGATCGGGCACCCACCATTTTTAACCCCTCCGACCGCGACGCCCAACCGAACCAACGCCACCCCCCCCCCCCCCCCCCCCCCCCCCCGAGCGCGACACGTCCTCCTCACCTCACGCGCTCGCTCGCGTACGAGGCGGCAACGCAAGTGGTCTCGTACTCGGTGTACTCTCGTCGTCGTCTCATCACGCTCGCATCGGCGGGGCGGCAAACGGCTTGGCTGGCTGCTGCACTGGACGCAATTATTCCCGGGGCCCCCGGGGCGGCCGCTGCCGCTACACGGTGGCTGGCGACCGATCCATCACGCGATGCCCGGGGAGATGCGCGCACGACAGCGATTCCGCCACGCCCCCCCGTGGAATCGGATGCCATTGCCCCGCCGCCCCAAACGCCACGCTCCGAATCACGCCCACTACTCGTACTCCACCCCACCCCATCCGCGGCTACAAACCGCCGAGAATCACCCACGCATCAACAACTCGTCGTGGCTCGCACGGCTCAACGCCACACGGAAAACTGCCCTAACAAGTCCCCTCAGCCACATGAACATCTTGACGACTTCATCGTAACGCTCGAAAATTTCAAGAAAAGCACTTGTTTTCATCGTGTGACGAAGGATGGTACTACTGCGACTATGCAACAGGGATGACTTTTGAAGAGATTTTCAGAAACAATAATAAAAGCTGTAGAGAAATGGAGTAGAAAATAGCAGGACCATTGTATGAAAAAAAAAAGCCCAAGCCTTGATAGGAGTTATACACATGAAAAACAACCCAAACTTGGTTGAGTTAGCCCCTCTCGAGAGTAAAACACGGCCACTAATCTCAAAAAGCTAAGATTAACGTCATCATTTTCACCATATACCCCACGCGCAATTTACTAATTAATCGGAAACTGATGAAATCATCATCGGGTGTAGTTGGAAACCCCCACACCCACCTGAGCCGCCGCCGCCGCCGCCGGGCGAGTGGGCTCATGGGAGGTTGAGGAACACGGCGGTCGGGTCCGGGTCGGCGAACCCGGCGCCGGCCGGCCAGTAGGACGCCATGTCGAACGCCGGCGGCGGCCACTCGAAGTGCAGGTCCGGGTCGGCCAGACTCTTGGTGATGGACGGGTAGTCGGAGAAGTCGAGGCCGAGGGTGACGGCGGCGGAGTCCGGCTGCAGGAGGTCCGTGAACGAGTCCTCCTCCACGGCCGGGACGACGAGCTCCGTGGTGATCTCGCTCGTGGTGTCAGGCGCCGGCGGTGTCGTCGTCGTTGTGGAAGTCGTCGTCTTCTTCTCCGACGTAGCTTCGGTCGTCGTCTTGGCGGCGGAGTCAGCGGCGGCTTCGGTGAGGACGGGGGTGGTGGCGGCGAGGGGCTCGGGAGTCGTGACGCGGCGCTTCTTCGACGTCTTCTGGCGCTTGGCGGCGGGTGCTGCGGCGGCGGCGGATGACGAGGAAGACGACGACGACGAAGACGAGGACTTCTTGCGCGTGCCGCCGCCGACGGGGACGTTGCGGAGCGTGCCACCCTTGGTCCAGTAGCGGCGGCAACACTTGCAGAAGTGCCGGGGCTGGGAGGTGTTGTAGTTGTTGTAGTAGCAGAATTTGGTGTCCCGCGACTCGCACCGCGGGCACGGGTCACCCTCCCCCGCCGCCGCCGCTGCCGCCGTCGCAGCCGGGCCAGCGGCGGCAGCAGCAGTCGCAGCCGAACCAGGCTGTGGCGTCGCGGGAGCCGCCGCGTAGCCCTTGGGACGGCGCAGGTCGACGGTGGCGAACTGCTGCGCCGGCCGGCGGCCGGTCTCCGGCTGCTGCTCCTGCATGCGCGGCGGCGCCGTGGCTGCTCTGGTCCCTCCGCGCGCGCGCGCCGGTGGAGTCGGGAGGAACCGAGGAGCGGGGGCAAGCAAATGGTCGAACGGGTGGTGGGCGGTTGGCGGAAGCGGGAGTCTCTTATGGTCGCAGTCGCGGTGACGACGAAGGTGGTTACACGAGGTACACTCTCCCCACTCCTATACATACCGCCACCACCGCCCCCCAGGGGCCCACGGGTCAGCGGTCGGTTCATCCTGTCCACGGGTCCCACCTGTCAGCGACGTCCACCGTGCGAGATCGGCCATGATTTTGTACAGTTAACCGCGATTAGCGCCGCCGTACGCCGGCGTGGCGCCTAGCGAAGGGGGGAGGACGACAGCGACCGACCTGTGGGGCCCACCACCCACTTACCACCCCCCCTCCTCGCGTCGATGACGCGGGCGGCGGCAACCACCGTGGTGGCCCACGCGTCAGCGGATGTGGGTTGGGTTCACGGCGGGTGAGGAGCCGTTCGGACGGATGGACTTATCGTCTCGGGCACGGAACTATGCGCCGTGTCGGCCACCGGCGCGGGTGGTCGCGGGTTGGCCACGTGGGCGGACGGCATTAGTTGGGCAGCCATGCTTCGTGAGGCAAGCAGCTGTCTGTCCAGTGGGGTCCACCTCGTACGCCGGTGTGCGGGCCCCACCCCTGTTGACGCCTGCCTGCCCGCTCCCAGCGGCCAAACCCAACGACGCGAATCCACCGAAACCCAATAAAAAAACCAAACGAGCCGTTTCAACGCGACGCCGACCTATCAGCTCCCGCTGCCGCCGAGCAGTTCAAATCACCCGAGACTTCTTTGAGCCCCTCCTAACGTTTGAAATAATACGAAAAATTTAAACGTTTTGTTGCAACAAGTGCACTTCAAATTCAAAGTTTCACCGGCCCAGCTGTGGATGAGGGTGAGAGTGAGAGGATACCACCTCGTATGAAAAAAACATGCGACGAAATCGAATCCGGCAAGGTGGTACAGTAGTAGTACACTGGCGCAGTAGCGAGACCGCGGCGCGTGGGGCCGAGCTGCCTGGATTTCACTGGATCAGAACGGGATGGGCCGTACGCCCGTGGGCCAACCCCTCCCCGGCCGAGCACATGGCCCCCGCCCGGGCCATGGACGGTGGTCTCGGTCGCCGCACGCACGCGGCCCCCACACCCAACCCCACCCTTGCTGCTGTCCTCTGCCGCGCCGCATCACGCAACCGAACGAATCCCCCCCGCCTCTCGCCGCGCCGCGCCAATGCTGCCCGCGTCGCCGCCGCGCAACGCAATCCATCGGATTGTTTAGGACGAGCTTTACCGTCGTCTCACGGTTTAGCGGTTACCGTGAGATATATCGTGGTCTTAGGAACCGAGAAGATTATCGTACGGATATATCGTGGTCTTAAGAACCGAGAAGATTATCGTACGGTTTTGTAAACTCTGTGCGGCGTCCGCTGCGCGTCGGCGCACACGGGCGAACGGCTCGGCGCGCAGACGACGCGGAGACCACCACCGATCTCGGCGACAGCGACGCGACGCGACGCGTCGGGAGTGGTGACCGGATCCGATTGGACTGGATCGGATTGGGTTCCTCTCATCTCTCTCCGCGATCGTCGTGGGGGGCTCACACGCACGCACGATGGATCGATCGATCGATCGTCGCTTGGTGCATGGCACATTGCCTCTCTCTCTCTCTCTCTCGCACATCTCATGATCCCATCGGCTGGGCAGTCATTGTTTGCTCCCCGACACAAACTGGATAACAACATCTCATGATCTCGGTCTCTCGGGAATGAAAGAGAAGGCCTTAGAGCAAGTTTAATAGTATAGCCAACTATTGACTCTAAATCATCTATAGCCAATGTAATAGCTAATTTATACAATAGTTGTTTACTATACTATTAATACCTTGTACTACTTGTTATACACACAGTACGTCTTGAAATCCGTGCTGCAGCTGGCTACAGATCTGTAGCCCGCTGCTCTGCTCTCTCTTTTTTATCTCTTTAAAATATGTTTATAGCTGGCTTAGAGCCCTTTTGAATCGCAGGATTGAAAAACCGGAGGGATAGGAAAAATACAGGATTTTGATAGGAATGCAAGTGTAAAATAGAGGATTGGAAAACACAGAAAAAATATAGGAATGACCGTTTGATTAGACCGCAGGAAAAATGCATGAATCAGATGAGAGAAATAGACTCAAGGAAAAGTTTTCCAAGAGGTTAGAGTAGATGTTAACTTTCCTACGTTTTTACTTTAGAATTGTAGGATTAGAAAAGTTTCCTACATTTTTCCTTTTCTCATTCCTACGAATAAAGACATAAATAGTGTAGGATTTCAATTCTTTTATTTTTTTCTCTATTTTTCCTCCAATTCAAAGGCGGCCTTATAGCCTGCTATAGTACCTGCTCTTATTCCCTCCCCGTCAGTAGTAGTAAAACCGATCGATGATGGATGCTACTCCAACACGACCCGGAACAAGTTGCTAAATTAGCCGTACTCCTCCGCTATATGCCTGCATGTCGCGGCAAACGTGACGATGAGATATCGACAGATATAAATTGGGATCGAGCCTCGATTAGATCATTATCATCACAATATCCCCTTGTCGATCTGCAATTAGAGTTTAGTAGTAGTAGTTGAAAGCTGATGTTGTGAACCGTTCTTTTGACTCTGGGTAGGGGTGGCGTCTCGGCGACGTGGTGCGATGCCGTCCAAGAGACGGGAAGAGACATGGGTCGCCGTAGGATGGTCCTGGGAGATGCGAGTGATCTGCCATCTCGAAGGATTCGGATTTCTTTTCTGATCCGCCGTTTTCATTTCCAGTCATGGATTAGCCAAGTCCATGACCCGAATATATTTTCAGTATCCATCGTCTCAGCGCCGCTATCATAATATCATATGGTAGGGTCGGTCCAGAGCTATCATCCGCAAATTCGTGGGTCGCAGATTCGGTCGACACATGGGCCTGTTTAGTTCGCGAAATAAAAATCTTTAGGTGCCACATCGGACATTTGATTCGATGTCGGAACGGGTTTTTGGACACGAATAAAAAAACTAATTTCATAACTCGCCTGGAAACTGCGAGACGAATCTTTTGAGCCTAATTAATCCGCCATTAGCGCATGTAAGTTAATGTAGCACTTATGACTAATCATGGACTAATTAGGCTTAAAAGATTTGTCTCGCGATTTCCCCCAACTGTACAATTAGTTTTTCTTTTAATCTATATTTAATGTTCTAAGCATGTGTCTAAAGATTCAATGTGATATTTTTAGGAACTCAGGACTTTCCCTTGAGTTGGAAGCAACCCATCCGTCCGTCCTGCACGTTTTGATCAAATTCAGAGAACGTACAACAGTACAGAGCTTATTCTAATACAGTTTTAATGAGTTTGATTGATTCTGCTACAGCGTTGGCACGTCAGGTTCACTCGGCGTCGTGCTCAGCCGCAGGCCGGGGTCGTGTTTGGCTTTCGGATGCGGCGGCCACTCGATCGACGGACGTGGGGCTCTGCAACTGGAAGCGTCAGGGGAGAATTTCGGCTACGTATGACGCAACGGCGGCGCCGGCTAAAGATGACAGTGCTCATCAGAACCTCAGATCACACGCTTTTCAACGTGTCACGTTTATTTTTTTCTACTTGACTGCTAAACGTCAAATTCGTGGAATCAACGTGTCACGCATAGGTGCAGATTATGTGGTTGGCAGAATGGGATCCGTGTAAACATCCGGTGCAAAAGCAGCCTCATCGAGTCATCGTATCAGCCGTGAAATAGTGAACGAAGTAACCAGGATTACACGAAATAATCTACAGGTAAAACTTTTACATCTGTATCCTTCACGACTTAAAAACCAATGCTAGAATATAAACTATGTAAAAAAAAACACCCTCAAAACATACTCTAAAATTAAGTTTTAGAATTCAGATTTTTGCTGTAACTGATAAGCCAATCGATGGATCACCCTTGTGATTTATTTATGGTGAAGGATACCGGGAGGTTTCGAGCAGTAGAAAATCGAATGATGTGTCAGAGTATGCAGAAACACGAAATCATTTTCACGGCATGAACCAATGGACTGCAAATACACCATCATCAGATTACAGGTTGGTCTTGTGTAACTTCAATCTTCAGGGACAAATAACACATTACACATCACAAGGGGAACTGATGGAACTTTGGATAGCTCATTTCTGAATTATGTTACAAAAGACATTCTGTCAGAGGGTGGGAGAAACTTCTCATATGAATGGAAGCATATGGACAAAAGCAGCTTCACAATCTGCAATGGAAGCTTCCTTTCTTCCCTAGGGGCTAGAACGGCGAAGTGATTAAATGAAAGAATACATCAAGGCCTTGTTTTGTCGAGACGTCACAGGTAAACTTAATATACATAAAACCTTGGGGCTCCCCGTACACAGTTAGGAGCAAAAAATGGTTGAATATCTGGGGTTTTCAGGAGCAAACCATCAGCTGTTATCTGATTTGTGTCGCTTTGAGGCTTGTCGATGTTCTTCAGCGCCATCACCCAACCTAAGCTGACGGCCCATTGCTTGACTATTAGATGCCGGATCAGTGAGCTCCTATAACGTAAATAGCATATCAGATAACAATGTCAAAGGATTAAATTGTGCAGATTGTAAAAATGCTCTGATGCTGCCCAAGAATTGCCTCGGAGGTCCAAATTGTGTTATAACCAACGAAGTCAACATTGTAAAACAACTAAACCATGTATAACATCCATTGCCAGCTCCAATTTCAATTACCACAAACATAATGTAGTGGCTCTTAGTGTCAATACGAGACATAAATCCTACCTTAGAAGTGGAGGTTGCAGCAGGAGTAGATCTCTTCATAGCCCTCTTGCCAAGATTTATTTGCACGGAGATGCTGGCTTGGGACAAATCTATACCCGAGTTTTCCAGGGCATGATTCAACTTGTTAAGCAACCTGTTATGGACGAAAAAAACAAAATCCAACTTCATCAAAAAATTCGTGGAAAAAAATGCATGTCAGGTGTTGCATATCAAAATTGGAAACAAGAGAAAAAAAAGAAATGCGTAAACAATGGTGACACAGATGGGTAAAGCAGTTTTTACAGAAAAAAACGTTATTAGTACATACTCTTGGGAATATTGGCTTGATAGACTGATTGTTCCCTCATCGATGGCAAGGTCAGAATTATTTAACTTGTCGCAGTTTACTGTGTGATTCTCTGCAGGTGATGGTCTCACCAGTTGAGCGTGTGGCTGAGATGTAACTTTGTCTACACATTAACAAACAGGTTGAAACTTGAGAGAGTTTCTAACTCTAATGAAGGAGTGCAGAAGTCCTGCAAGTTATAAAGCTAGGTTGGACTAGAAATTGTACCTGCAACATTATTGGGACTGGGAGTGTCCACTGATCTGTAAGACACACGACTCATTGGATCAGTTTCTGCCTGATCCTGTGCACCTGAAGCAGCTGCAGTTTCAACTGCATTGTTATTATCAGAGTTCCCTGTAAAAGGGAACATATAGGGGGAACCATTTTTCAGAAGTTCTGGAGGGTCAGGTGAATGATCTGCAGGAACTTGGCCTTTGTTCTGCAAAGCAAACATGTGATGAAGGGAAGTCTTGTTAGTACCTCATAATAAGCCTCGACAAGTAAGATGTAAAGATTTGTTAGTAGCAAACTTACCTGCGCATTTTTCCAGGAAGAACGGAAATAGATGTTTGTCCATGGCACAACCTTTGCATTTTCTTGGTTCCACTCCGGGTATGAAACCTCATACTTTTGTACTTTCTCTTGTAAAAACCGTATGTATTCAATAACCTGAATTGAAATAAATATCGTTAGAGATAGTAAAGATAGTCGATAGAAAACAGATTACAACTAAAGCAATCAATAAACTTTCTTACCTCTAAGAGAAATGATGCTTTGTCTCTCTTTTGATCATTATGAGGCAATAAGTCTCTAAGAAGTTGAAATCTGCAAAATAATTGGACGTGCAAAATAAATTTAGATGGACCATTTAAACAATAATTATATGCACAACAGCAATGCTTTTTTTTTGGCAAGAAATCTGAAAACCCAAACTAAGATGCATTTCACAGTGCAGTAGTTCATCTATTTGAGCATAACTATTCCAAACTCCAGCGCATTATTCTCAAACTCCGTAATAACAGGATATCCACGATCTATTATATTCACATCTTTCTAGCCTAACCAAACACCTACAGCTTCCAGCATCTCAGGCAATGGACAACTTTGCTGTAGAAAAGATGAGCACCGTCTCCACTGTTAGCCTTAGGAACTACCCTAAATGCTACAGCCTCTCCTCAAACCAACTCCTCAAAGGTTCAGATAATTGGCATTTATGTTGCAGAAAGATGAGCACTTTCTAGTGGCACCACAAGTTCACAACATTGGATTCATGCAGACTATTTTCCCAGCAAATAGCAGCGCAAACAGTTGAATGCAGCTTAAACTGTTGACACAAATTTATTTATAGATCGACAAAAGATCCTTTTACGCATATACAACGACAGATTAGTAACCGAGAGCTTATCAAACTAGACAAGTAGCACTCCGATTCTCCACTCACCTGTCGTTGATTTTGCTGCGCCTGCGCTGCTCGGTGGCGGAGTGCTTCGAGCGCGGCGTGTTCGGCATCTGATCCGTGCCAGCGCTGCCGCTGCAGCTCCCACCTTTCCCTTCCACCCTGACCGTGAGCTCTAAACCCAAAAAAAGAAAACAAAATTAACACAAAAATCTCGACAAAAACTCGTTCATTTTCACCACCCCCCACATCCAAAATGTCTCCAAAAGCGCGTATACCAAACTGATTCATCAGAAATGCAGAATTGAGGTACTCCACCTTTCAGCGAGGAGGAGACCTCGCGGCGCGCGGCATGGCCGTCGTCGTCGTCGAAGCCCGCGCCGCCACTGGATCTGGAGCCGGCGTCCATGAATCCACCGCCACCCTTCCTCTCCGGCGGCGGTGGCTGCTGCTGCTGCTGCTGCGGCCTGGAGGAGGCGACGGCGACGGCGCGCGCGGCGAAGGGGAGCGACCACTGGTGACCTGCCGGGTGAACAAACAGCACAAAGCACACGCCTTTAGCTCCCTTTCCTCCGGTTTTTCTGAACTACTGTACAACTAGTAGGAGTGTGTTTGGATGAAGAGTTGGAACAGAGAAAGAATCATTAGATGTTTCCAAAGTCTATTGTCAGGATGATTATTGAATATATTTTCCACGTCTTAGGATACTACGGTTTGTTAAATATTTAATCTTCATGTACTCGCCTTTGGAGGTGCTGTTTGGACTTGGAATATTGTAGTAGTACAAAAAAAAAGTGTAATAAGCATGTGATGGAAAGAGGAGTTAGCTGAACGACAAAAGGACAACTATTACTTGTATATTCACAGAGAAAACCGTAAGGTAAACAGTGCTGTGAATCAAACCCGAATCCTTTTTTTAAATCCAAACCCGAATCTTTGCCCTAGCAAAAGTCTTGCCAGTTGAAACTCAAGGTAAAAAAATTGTTTACCCACGTTACATGGTTCAGGATTCATTCAAGGTACTTTAAATCGTATGATTAAAAAATAGAGGAATAGTAAAATTACATGATTTCTGAATGGAAGATTGTAAAATACATGAAAAACACAAGAATGATTATTTGATTGGACCACGGAAAAAATACGGAAATTGAACGTGAGAGATAGGCTCAGAAGAATTTTTTCAAGAGGTTGAACCTCTTACTAAGTTTTCTCCAAAATTTATATGTAATGAACCATTCTATTACTCTATAGGAATTTTATTGGATTAGGAAAACTTCAATCTTTTTAATAAAAGGGCTACATATGAAAATTTTATATAGAAGAGTAAATTTCACAAAACTACATGTATTTTGATCAAATTATCACAAAACTACATACTTAAGGAGTTGTATCATAAAACTACACATTTAGCACCAAATTTATCACAAAACTGCAGATTTTAGGTTAAGTATCACAAAAATGCATATTTAATATGAAACTTATCACAAAACTACAACTTTTGGAGTTTAAATCCCTAGCACCATTGTTATGGTGGAGTTATAAACATTATTACTTTGTGATCAAATTGGTTCTAAACCTGTAATTTTATGATAATTTAGTTACTAAACATGTAATTTTGTGACACTTCATCTTAAATGTGTAGTTTTGTGATAAATTTGATGTTAAATGTATAGTTTTGTGATACATTGAGTTAAATATGTAGTTTTGTAATAATTTTGTCATAGTATATGTAGTTTTGTGAAATTTACTCTATATAGAATTTTAATTTTATGAAATTCATCATAATTCCTTTGATTCAAAAGAAGCCCTTAGATGTAATGATTTTCACATTAGTCACATTGTTTCCTGTGAAAAATACTACAGAATCTATTAACACTTTTTTTAGTGGACTATGAACACTTTAATTAACTCTTATCGTAAAGCCCAAGCTTCACTTATAAAATCCTAATAATACAATGATATATAACAAATGGCAATATGATTTACTACCTCCTCCATTCTATAGAATAAAATTCATATACAAAGTAAGCTTTTTTAAGTTTGAAAGTGGATTCATCTGCTTGTCCCAGTATTACTTGTGGTCCGGGTCTATCCAGAAAAGCGAGCGCTCTAGTGCTCACGTCCCATGGCCCACAACCAGGCCCGTACCCGGGCCCATGCTGCTATCCACGTGCACCCAGCACGCAGCCTCTGGCCCACGTCCAGGCCCGTCCCCCACACGCATCCGGGCCCAGCGAGCCCACGTCCCCCGTGCGGCCGGCCAGGCCTACTCGCCTACTCCCTAGCCCCGCCCACCCTACCATCCCCCTACCGCCTCCGCGTGTCAGCGGGTGGCCACCAGCTACGCGCGTCGCGCGCGTGCGTCGACGTGCTCGCCGCGCGGCGGCGACGCCGACGCCCCAACCACCGGAGGAGGAGGAAGGCGCCGCGCCGGGCACGTGGAGGAGGTGGCGCGCGGCGCGCCCAACCACCGGCGGGCACCGCCACGCGCGCGGCGCGGCTCACGACGATCGCGATCGAAGGCGCAAGCGACGAGAGCACGGGCGTACCTCGGGGATCTACGGCGGCGACGGGCTGGCACCACGGCGCGAAGGGCGGCTCCTGCTTGACGGCGGTGGCGGCCGCGGCCACGGCGTGGTTGATGGTGAACGCGCCGGCGGCGGCCAACGCGTGCTGGTGGAGCAGCTGCTTCTCGGCGGTGACCGCGGCGTGGGGCGGCGGCGGCGGCGGCGGCGGTGGTGTCTGGTCGGCTCTCTTCTCTACCTGCGGCAGGAAGTCGTGTGTCTTGAGGAAGAAATCTGCAACGGAAATGATCACAAGTTCAGCATCATCGAAAAAAAATCCATCAAAAATCCATCTCTCAATTACTTTTTTTTTGTGCAATTTAGCATGCATAATATGGAGTGGATCGAGTGGTTTGGATGAAAACAGTTTAAACTTGTAGTAATAATAAGAATACGAATTCGAAAACCAACTTGCGGAGATCTGATCGACCGATAATGATCTGGCATGACAACCTGCAAGAATAATGATATGCCGACCACTTTTGCACACTAACATTCGGAATTTTTGAAAAAGAAAATCGTAGACTGCAACAGAAAGGAAGTCGTGGACGTCTCTTTGCATCGTGCCCCCTCTCTCTCTCTCACACACACAGCCTAGCTACACGTGATCATTTCCCTTCGTTAACTCGTCGTTTTCCTTGACCAAACATCGCAAAAAAGTTTATCTTTTTCCACAAGACATAAACCATAATGATATACTCCTAGTATTTAGTTTTTAAACCACTGCAAATAGTAGGATTATGACGGTAGCAATTCCTTGATCCGTTCTGGTTAATTCTGTGTGGTTTCACACGAGAACAAGAAAAGAAAAAAAAAACTATGCCGAATTTGGCAAAGTATTTCGAGACGGGAGATCCACCTCACCATCCGGGAGAAAAAAAAAATTGCGTGAGCTAGCTCACCTTGAGCGGGCGGCGGCGCCGGCGCCGAGGGCTTGGAGTCCGGGTGGCGCGGGAGCGGCGAGTAGTCCGTGGCGGTGGCGGCGGCGGCGTACAGCGAGAGGAAGTCGTGCGTCGCCTTATTCCCTGCGTATACATCAACCAAATCGATCTCAGGAGGAGAAAACCTCGGCGAAAACCCCCACTCCGGCGAGCGAACGAACGAACGAACAGGGAAGAGGAGAGAGAGAGCGCGCGTACCTTGCAGTCCCATGGCCGCGCATTACCCCGCGCAGCAAGGAAGGCGGCGGCGGCGGCGACGTGTTGGGGGGATGGGGAAGCGGATCTCCGCGGCGCGGCGAGGGCAAGCTCTCCGGGCTTTCTCCTCCTCTCTCGCTTCGCTTCGCTTCCTCAGTTCCTCTCTCTCGCCTGCGGTGGTGGGAGGGAGGCGATTCTTTATACGGCGTCGTTCTCTTGCTTTCTCGCGTCTCGCGTATAGCCGAGGCGAGTTTTTTTTTTTTTTTGCTCTGTCCGTGACGGCGCTAGTGTGACGGCCGTTAGCGGCGGGGATGGAGGTCTGGGGTTGGAGGCGTTGGACTCGGGTGTGCGAGCACGTGCCTCGGCGTGAGTTGACCGCGGTTGCATTAGGCGTTGACGTGACGTGAGGAGCCGTTTACTATAGCCGGTAACAACAAGGTAGTAGTAGGAGGAGTAAAAAATTACTCCTGATCACCATAAATTCCTCCTTTGTGGGATGCTCCATGAGTAACATGTGCAACATATACCACGAGTTAAAAGAACCATGCAAAGAACTCAGCATGGAAAGAAAATTTGCTTCTTATACTCTGTTTCTTTCTAAGAGCAAATTACTCGTAGTTCGTAGTTTAGGCACAAATATTACCGGCACGATCAGACAACGAAAAGTCCACGAGCCTACCCGCTGGAAAAAGCAGGTAGAGGTAGTAGTAGACCTCACCTCCCGGTTGGACTACAGTGCATGCGCTGCCTGTACCCCTCCTACCCGCGTGCCACTATTCGCGTTTGTGATCGAGAGATAAACACAAGACTGAGCCTTCCACAGTGCGGAACAGCGGTTGCTGCCGCGCAGCGCGATGAGGCGGTCACGTACGTACTCACGTGACGGTTGGGGGTAGCCAGCGGCGGGGGCCCGGACGCGGGCGGCACATGAGGCCGAAAATTGCGGGCATCCCGTGGATAGAGATATTGATGTAGAGGGTGGGAGGCGTCGCCGGCTGGGGGTGGTCATGTGCCCCCAGATTCCACAGGGCCACCATCCCACTCACCTCCCAAATTATGCACTGCATCTGGTAAGTAGTGTTCCGTCTTAAAATATAAGAACTTCTAGCATCTACAATTTATTTTAAAATATAACAACTTCTATATCAATATTTTTTTCTCAACCAATCACAGCTCTCTATCATTTAAATTTTTTACCTATCTTCACTTATCATCTAATCACAACCATACATTATTTAATTCTACCTATTTTTTTAATAACTATATTTAATTTTAAAAATAATTATATTCTGAGACGGAGGAAGTAATGGATTGCCCCGGTTGATGTCATGGCCTCATGGGAAGGAAGTGGATTGACGTCGTAAGCAGGGTGACCCTTGCATTTCATCAGCTGTTCTTCACTTCTTCTACCACTCTCTCTTTTTTTTTACTACTACTACAGTACTACTCTCGGTGTTATCGAGAGGTGTTTTGCTCCCGGCAAGGGGAGCACGTCTTCACGTGCGGGAGGACGCGTCCCAGAGGCAAGCATGCGTCATGATTGGATTGGGCAGCGACGACGAAGAAGTGGGTTCAGATCTTCAGGCTTCACTTCAGAGTGGTACTCAGTTGTGTTTAGTTAACGTTAAAATTAAAAGTTTGATTGAAATTTGGACCATATAACAGAAAAGTTGAAAGTTTGTGTATATAAAAGTTTTGAAATGATGAAAAAGTTAGAAGTTTAAAGAAAAAATTTGGATCTAAACACGGCCTTATTGGATACTCCCTCTGTACTAATATAAGAGATGTTAACATTTTACTTACAATGTTTAACCATTTATCTTATTAAAAAAATTAAAATTATTATTATTATTATTTACTTACTTTATTATCAAAGTATTTTAAGCACAACTTTTCAATTTTTTTTATATTTGCATTGAATAAGACCAGTGGTCAAACAGTGCAAACAAAATGTCATAATCTCTTATATTAAGGGATGGGGGAGTAGTAGTACTGGGCTGTGTTTAGTACGTGTGCCAAAAAAATTTTAAGTATACAGCTACATATTTAAAGTATTAAACGCAGACTAATAACAAAACAAATTACATATTATGTCTTTAAACTACGAGACGAATCTATTAATCCTAATTAATCCGTTATTAGCAAATGTTTACTGTAACAGCACATTGTCAAATCATGGCGTAATTAGGTTCAAAAGATTCGTCTCGCGATTTACATGTAAACTGTTCAATTGATTTTTTTATCCATATTTAATGCTCAATACACATGTTCAAACATTTAACATAATGAGAAAAATTGAAAGTTTGAATGTAAACACGGCCCTACTCTAGATCGATGTCTTTGCCTGCAAATCTTTTATTGACCTTGCTTGCCCGCAGTCCCACACGGGCACACGCCCACACCAAAGTTGCACACGCCTGATACAAACAGACTTACAGACCACACCAAAGTTGCACGCGCCTGATACAAACAGATCGACTGACCTGTCCGGACGGCTAGCCTCATGGTCTGCAGATTTGGGGGTGTTTTGCTTTTATTTTACGTTTGGGAAACGAGTTTTTATTAATTTCGTTAAGCATTATCAACCCGCAAAAAAATTAGTTCCACGCATTGGATGCGGCTGCGGCCACGGCTGCTTCTGTGGAACCATAGATTCATCGTACCAAGTCCGTCCCAAAATAAATAGTTTTAATTGATATGATATATTTTAGTACCGTGAATCTAAAGTTTAAATTCGTGATTCTATGATATGTCCTGTGTGATTAATGAGACAAATATTAATACTTTATTTTGATAATTTTTTAAGATAAATCTTAAATTCTAGAGAGACAACTATTTTAGAAATGGTGTGTATATATCTAATTCCTAAGGTTAATTGTTTCCTTAAAAAATGGTGGCCCACGCAGATTGCGCTACTAGCATCATTATATCTTCTCTCATATAATAGCATATATGTTTTCTCAATGTATTATTCAAATATATTAAATTAAAATATAATTTTAAATTTTGTACTAAATTTATGAAACTACTAATGTGTAATATTTATATTGTATTTTATATACGTATTAGTTATTAATTATTTTTAATATCAAATTTTAGTTATTTGTAAATTATATTTCTATATGTACTCTAAATTCGTCTTTCAATATTTCTTTTTTTTAATTCTGAATTTTCGTTATCTGTAATTGTATTTCTATATAGACTCTAGGCTCTTCTTCCAATATTATTTATTTTTAATTCTAAATTTTTATTATTTCTAATTGTATTTTTATGTGGACTGTAAACCCATCTTTCAATATTTTTTTAATTTTTAATTTTGAACTTCAGTTATTTCTAAATTGTATTTCTATATTGACTTTAGACTCTTCTTCCTATGTTTTTTTTAACAAATTCGAATTTTAGTTATTTGTAAATTATATTTTTTTATGAACTCTAAACTCTACTTTTAGTTTTATTATGTTTATTCCGAATTTTAGTTAGTTTAAAATTCCTATATTGACTCTATACTCTACTTCTAATATTCATTATTTTTAATTCCAAATTTCTATTATTTCTTAATTGTATTTCTATATGGACTCTATACTGTATTTCTAATATTTCTTATTTTTAATTCCGAATTTCAATTATTTCTTAATTTTATTTCTATATGGACTCTGTACTCTTATTCTAATATTCTTTATTTTTAATTTCGAATTTCAGTTGTTTATAAATTGTATTTCTATATGGACTCTAGTCTACTCTTCCAATATTCCTTATTTTTTAATTCCGATTTTTTCTAAAAAAAATTCTAATGTTAGTTATTTGTAAATTGTATTTTTATACGAACTCTAAACTCTACTTATAATTTTTTTATGTTTATTCTGAATTTTAGTTAGTTTTTAAATTCCTATATGTACTCTATTCTCTACTTCTAATATTTCTTATTTTTAATTTCGAATTTCTATTATTTCTTAATTATTTTCTATGTGGACTCTATACTCTTCTTCTAATATTTTTATTTTTTTAATTCCAAATTTCAATTATTTCTAAACTGTATTTATATATGGACTCTGTTTTATAAATTGTATTTCTATATGGACTCTGTTTTTTTTTCTCTAATTAATATGATAATTTCTAGGCCATGAGAGCGAACATGGAGACTCATTTTTCCATTCCTTTAATAAGTTAATAGATTAGACTCAAATGGTTAGAATAATTGTTGCCTTAGGTATCAGGCTCAAAGCTACTTCTAATTCATATGCGTGAATGGTACTCCCTCTGTTTCAGATTATAAAACATTTTGACTTTGGTCAAAGTTAAAGTTAAACTTTTTTAAGTTTGACCAAATTTGTAGGAAAAATATTAATATTTTCAAATCAAGACAAATTTATTATGAATATATATTCAATTATTGATTTGATAAAACTAATTTGGTATTACAAATATTACTATATTTATCTGTAAACTTAGTCAAACTTAAAACAATTTGACTTCGATCAAAGTCAAAGCGTGTTGTAAACTGAAACGAATGGAGCAGTAATCTTGACTCCGCTGAAACATTGTTTAGCACGTGTAGTGCCTCAGTGCGTATCAGCATATGTACGACACGTACTCGTGGGCGTTTCCACGTCCATAGGTTAGGCCGTATCCGCATCTGGATCCATGCGATTGCGACGCCGATTCCGCATGAGCAAAAGCACCAAGCTTTGTGATGGATCATGGATGGCACGAA